TTTTTTTGGGGGGGGGGGGGGTTTTTTTTTTTTTTTTGGGGGGGGGGGGGATAAAAATGTTTTTTGGGGGGGGGGGGGGGGGGGGCTGACGTCGATGGAAGCCATGTCATGCCGAAAGCCTTTCGTGGCCTTGATTTTCCGGAAATACTGCACAAAGAAAAAGAGAGCAATACAAAAAAAAAACAAGAACAAAAAATTGTACCAGGCTGTAACCTCACGGTGTGACTTACGATGACATACGGTCGTGTGAACTGTACTGTACCGCACTCTTGGTCTGTTTCTTTTCCTTTGTCCTGTCGTGCACGTTTTTTTCCTAACGACTTTGGTGTTCTTGCTTGTCATTCGAAGTAGTGGGGTTGGCAGTGCGGGAGAAGATGGTAACAAAGGCCGAGGTTTGTTGTCTTTTGCAGGTCTCGGGACCTCCAACCATCCCGTTGCTACGGCTGCTTTGTCGGGAAAGACCGACCCATAACGCCTCCTTTGTTTGGTCGTACTTGCGTGCTTGTGTGAGCACTTGTGGACATGACATGCCAGCAATTACACGATCAATACGTAGTGGTGGCAACCATTATACGTGATACTAGTTGCAACCATCAATCCATCATGTGATGATTTTCTGGAGCGGAAACAACCACCTCTCGAAACTCAATGCATGGTCGTGCTACATACCACGTAAAATTTTTTGCTGTTCGTTAACAATCAGGACCCTGTCTGGTACTAATCTATATTGGCCGCCCTGAGAGGTACAACAGATTGAGGACACACCGAAGTATGTACTTTTGTACAGAGTTTTTTCATCTACATCAAGTAAAAATGCCGATTTTCCCATGTACGATAGGTCGTGCTACGACCTCGAGATGCACTCCAAGAAGACCGGCGTGGCAATGCTGGCGTCTTGCAAGCTCCCGGAGCCCAAGGTTGTGACGGAATACAAGCTGCAGATCGACAGAAAGGCGCTCGGGAAGACCTTCAAGGCAGAGCAGAAGAAGGTGTGCAAGGCGCTGTCATTTTTGAGACCAATCTACGTGATCTCCGTACCTGCTTGTGTGTGAGGCCAATCAAATGGCCGGAACCTTCGTTCCCTCGCGGCGTGTTGAATATTGAAGTGAGGGATTGATGTCTATGATGTCAGAGTCGAGACGTGCGAGATCCGAAGAGGAGCGGGTAACAGTTGCGGCAGCCATCTCACACGAAGAACAGTCAACTTGACGGATGACGGCTCTGCGTGGTCTACATGGGGGAGTCGTGGCTGGCGCATCGACTTCTGCTTTCCTTTCGTAGAGGGTGACGCCGAATGCTGCTCCTTCCTCTGTTGTTCTGTGCTGCCATCGCAATCGTCAGCCGCACCCATCGCAATCGTCAGCCGCACCTGACGATATTTTTTTTCTTCGCGAACGTGTAAGAACCGTACACTATTAATACGTGATTTCTTGGGTGACTCCGTGCTCCTCCAGGTGATCGCCGCGCTGGAGGCACTCTCGGAGAAGGAGGAAGACCTGCTGGCGTTCCAGGCGAAGCTGGAGGAGGAAGGGAAGGCGTCCTTGGGGGAGGGGGCGGTCTTCGAGATCACCAAGGGCATGTGCTCGTGGACGAAGGGCTCCAAGAAGATTTCCGAGATCAAGTTCACGCCCAGCGTAATCGAGCCCTCTTTCGGTGAGAAAAATCGAGCTCCTACCTGGTGTTTTAGTGTGTCCCACGGCAATGATTTGTTGCCCCCCGCGAGAGCTAGGTTTTGGATGTTGTGCTTAATACGTTTACGTACGTTGGTGGTTTTTATAGCTGCTTGCTTTTGTCGTGCCCATGCGACAGCGGAGGCGTTGTTTGTACGGACGAGGTTCATCGCGGCCTGGGTACCTCTTGCGAAATCGAGGGCCTTGGGGTGTTTGTACTCACACGCGTGTCGCACGCCTTCCGGAACAAGGACAACGGCGCAGAACTTTCTTTGCTTTCGTAAGAGGCCTGTCATTTCTCTCTCTCTCTCTCTCTCTCTCTTTCTCCCTCTCGCACACACATACCACACCATGGCCTTGAGAACCATTCATGTTTTCAGCCCCACGGAGACTGACATCTTATCATCGGTCAGCCGGAGACTGACATCTTTTCATCGGTCAGCCGGTTAACGCGGTCGATGCTATTTACTAACAGTAACACCCCGCACATGTCACCGGAACTATTTGTTCGTTTTGGAACCCCTTCAAAGGCATCGGGCGTATCCTGCACTCCCTGCTGGAGCACAGCTTCTACGTGAGGGAGGCGGAGGAGGGCGCAGACGACAAGGACATGAAGAGGGGGGTCATGGCGTTCCGTCCCCTGGTCGCCCCCATCAAGTGCGCGGTTTTCCCCCTGAGCTCTCAGGCCGCGTTCTTCCCACTGTGCGGTCGCGTCATGGATGCCTTAGGAAAGATGCACCTCAGGTACAGCACAACAATGACATGGATATCGCAGAATGTCACGAAATTGTGGAGGTACACATCTCTACATTTATTTATGCGCACTCCGTCAGAGGCGTGTTGAGGTTCAACCTACCTCCTTCCGCCAGCCCACACCGTGCCCCTACTACGCAGTGCACGGCCAACAATAAACGCAGAGTTTTGCCTTGATTTGTCTTCACGATCACGTCGAGGCAGCCCTACGTACACTGCTTTAGACGCAGAAAGTGCCCAAAGAGCTACTTCCATCGACCCCCCGACACGACGTATCTTGCCTGCCGACCGCCCTCTTACTTTCTCGGACAACAATGCACTCCGTCTTGATACCGCCAGCGCGAAAATGGACGCGAGCGGGGCTGCTCTCGGACGACGGTACGCGCGCATGGACGAGCTCGGCGCGCCCTTCGGGGTGACCGTGGATTTCCAGACGGTGGAGGACGAGACGGTGACGCTGAGGGAGAGGGACAGCATGACGCAGATCCGAATGCCTATGCCGGACGTGGCTCCGCTCATGGCACGGCTCGTGACGGAGGAGGTCGCGTGGAAGGTGTGGCGGTTGGTATTTTGGGGGCCGCATGTCACTGTGTGCTCTCGCACGTACGTGTGTCGCCGTTGGTTGGTCGCAGTGTAGGTGTGCTTGTTGCACGCCGTTTGCGTGTGAGCTGTTCGACCGCCAACAGCAATCGACATCTGAGGGGGGGATAGTCGGTCCTACCGCCCCTTCGTTCTGTGTTGGCATACTCTTTGTTTCAATTTTTGTTTCGTATCCGTCGTTTTTCCTTACAACCGCTCCCGACTCTTTGCCTCTAGCCTCTGTTGATATACCCACAATGGCCCCGTCCTCAACGCTGTGTGTGACAGGAGTGCACGTCCAAGTACCCCGTCGTGCGAGAAGAAGCCGATGACAGCACCAGCGCCGCCGCCGCCGCTGCGTCGGCAAAGACGGCGGCCGGAGGGAACGCCCTGACGACAGAAAGCACTCCCTGCGGCATGTTCTCCAGACCGACGACCCCCATCCAAGTCAAGCCTTGAGAGTCTCGCGGCCTTGACACGGGGGTGCCACATGGTGTCGTCGTTTCCCTTCTTGCTTCGCCTCCCGTTTTGTTGTCCAGCGAGTCGTCTGGGAGGGTTGCTGCTTGGTTGTTCGATCTTGTAGCAGTGTTTTGGTGTAAGGTTTCGCGAATGAATCTCATGTTTTTTTTGCGTCGGAACCTGTACAAGTAAGGGGAGGCTGCGTTGAGTGTCATCCAATGATTCCATGAGTTACATGGAACGCAGGTACCCACAAGGAACGCATCAGCAGGTAGGCATTGCTAGTTGTTTACCGGCGGGTGGGACGTTTTATTTTCAGCCGGGGTTCCTAGTGCCCGGTGTCACGGTGCCGAGCGCTCTGTGTCGACCAGCCAATCCATTTGTTGGACGGATCGAAGCCCGAGCAAACTATCTGCATTGTCGGAACTGGGTATTGCTCTCAGTGTAACCAAAGTAGGCGTGGTTGATGCTGGCTGCTGCAACGACAGCGGCGCACTGCGCTGGCTGCTCTTGGACGGTTTTATCCCTGTTCCTCCCGTTAATCACTTGCAGAACAATCACTTACAGACCGGCACTGTCTTTTTTTGCTGACGCAAAATACAAGGAACGCCGCCAGACACGACCGGCGACACGGGCTTTGATTTGTCATCATCCGTTTTGGGTGGCGTTTCGTGCAGCATGTGTTTCACGTGCCATGCTTGACGCCCCTTCGCGTTCTCGGAGATGGGGGACGAGGGAGAGACCGCTGGCCTCAATTGGCGGTGGCAAACTCCTGAAGTCAACTCACAGCGACCAAACTCAGTTTTGTGATTATCCCCACTTGGAATTGGGGTTTCAGTCAGCGCTATCCCGAAAAAAGCATTCAACAAATCTTAATCTTGTAGTTGTCCTCGTCTCGATCGACGGAATGGGACTGTTGGTTGACACTTTCATTGCAACAGGGCAGCAGAAACAGACCGACGAAACTAGAGTAATCATGGACGACATGAGTTGGTTGGGACAGCAGACAAAAAACAAAAATACGACGCACGAATGAAACGGGACATTTACTTTCCTTCCTATCGAGATGAAAACACAAATAACTAGTGGACCACCAAGAACAGCAACGATGCGATTTCAGCACAAGCATCGCTGCAGCAGTATGCACACTTGATAGGATAATACAACAAACAACGACTCAACCCTCAGGGCGATTGTAACAAATCAACCAAAAAACCACCTCTACCAGTTTGGGTAACGAGAACCGATCAAGGTCCCCAGAAGCCGGTGACGTCTTGACAGCAATACCCACAACCCCCATCTCCCGTTCTCTGATGCCAAAAATCGGCCTGCTCTTTGTATCGCCGCAAGCACAAGCGGATCACCCCCGGCCGCTTCGCCCGTCCTCTCACACCCCGAAAGGCTGCGAGTCCGACGGCCGCCGCCCATCGACCAGCTCGTCGCCCTGACGGTGGCCATCACCCAACGCCGCAAACCCCTCCCCCCGTCGGCCGAACATCCTCCCCAAGGGTCCGCCCCCCGACGGCGTTCCCGAACCGGCCGTCGCACGCGAGACACCGAAGTCAACCTCCACCTCGTCGTCGAGCTCGCCCTCCTCCTCCTCTTGACCGCCCGTCCCCGAAACCACAGTCAACCGGCCGCCGCCGCCGCCGCCGCCGCCGCCGCCACCGCCGCTCGTCTTAGCGGCGGCGACGCGGTACCGGTGAGACCCGCTCCCGTTGTCCCGGTAGCCCCCGGGCCCCGCCTGCAAGAAGTCGTCCTCGGCCCCCTCCACCACCTTGCCACCTCCCCCGGCTCTTCCCATCTCCAGCTTGGTGTGCCGGTGCTCCCCTCTCCTGATGCGGCGGACCACGAGGATGCCGGTGATCCCGCAGAGCGCCACGGCCACCAGCGTCCCTATCGAGGCCGCGGCAGCAACCGCCGCCAGGCTTGGCTGTCCCGAGTCCCCGCCGGCGCCGCCCGCCGCCTCGTCACTCCCAACAGCGGCGCCTTCATCGCTCTGGCTACCCTCCCCACCCTGCGACGCCCCCGCTTCCCCACCGCCGCTGCTTCCATCCCCAACGTCCTCAGGCGCCGGCGTAGCGGAACCGGCAGAGGAGGCGTCGCCCTCGCCGCCGTCAGAGGAGGGAGATGGAAGCGGCAGCAGCGGTGCAGGAGTGGCCTCAGCGCTGCTAGCCGCCGGGGATGGCTCGGGCGTCGTCGGGCTTGTCGTTGCCTCGGCGGCCTCCCCGGCGTCCGATGCTGCATCATCATCGCCGTCGCCGCCGCCGTCGACCGGCGTCGCCGAGACGGGAGCGTCCGCCTCGCACTCGTCGCCTGTTCTGAGGGCGGTGGCCCTGGCGAGCCCCACGGTCTTGTCCTCGACGTTGTAGGCGGTGTAGAACGTGCGGAGGAACGAGTCTCCCAGGATCCTGGGCGCGCGCGAGAGAAGATCAGCCGAACCGCATATTGTTATCGGCCCCGCGATTATTTAAGGTAGGTTTGCGAGGAAGACGAGAGGATCGACAAGCTTCAGATTTGTTGGGGCTCTCGTAGCGCCCAAGAGGCAGGCAGGCGGCACACGATTCACGAAACCAAGCGAATCAACCTAGCGCTGCCCGGAGGGGTATGGATAGAGCACGCTCGTTTTCGGTGTTTCGGGGACCCGCCAGTCCGTCGCAGCGGAAGGCAGAGGATTCGGATTCCGCGAGAAGGTTGTCAAGTTGAACAGCGTGCAAAGAGCATGTCCCACCCGTACAATGACGTTGCACACCATGCGGAGCGCGCGTTGCGGTGCATAGACACGGGACACCTCCTCCCGCTTGCTTGGAGGAACTCGTGACAATCGAATCGGGCGCAGAAGAGAGCCAACACCCCCCATTCTGTCGAAGGGCTTGACTTGACTTGACTTGACTCACCACATGTTCTCCACGTGGCCCAACATCCCGAAAAGGCACCACGGCTCGGTTGACGAAGAAGACACCGTCGAAGGGACGAAGTCCGTGAGGGGCTGGAGGAGCTCGTTGGACTGAACGACGCACAAAAAATATGCCGACAGCGGACGAAGAGGGGTTGAGTGACGCACGTCGTTTCGCAACAAGAGAGAGAGAGAGAGAGAGAGAGAGAGAGAGAGAGAGAGAGAGAGAGAGAGAGAGAGACAGACAGACAGACAGCAAGCAACCCCCCCCCCCCCCCCTCTATCTTTCCTGCAAACAGCCCATGGATAGCGGCATCACTGCGCCCCGAACAACACCAGCAACGACCACACCAGCAGCAGCAGCAGCAGCAGCAGCAGCAGCAGAAGCAACGCTCTCACCGTGAGGGCAAAGTCGTCCCCTCCGAAGGAGATGTTGATGTCGTCGAACTCCGAGTCGCACTCCATAAGGATCAGTTCCACCTCGCTAGGGTTGCTCACGCAATCCATCTACATCACACCAGCAGCATGCATAGATAGTACCAGATCGAATTGTATCGTATCCGTCGTTAAGGGGCGAGAAAGAAAGAGGTAGGTCAGCGACGACACGGGAAATGAGAGAGAGAGAGAGAGAGAGCGAGAACGAGAAACAGATCCGAAACGAGTCGCGGAGAGCAACAAATCATGCAAGAACTCCTGCCCCCTGTTGTATCCTAGCAATGCCACCGTGGCATACATTCTCGAGCACCCACACGTTACCGTACTCACAAGAACACCCGAATGAGGCCGTCGAAATCGCGTGACACAGATGACACACTTCAACTACGAACAGTTTCCGGGCGCAAGGCCGGCCAACATCCCTTGGCACTGCTCCTGCACAACACCGCAACTAACCACTGCGGTACTTACCGTTTCCACGCTGCTGGAATCTATGCCCGTGAAGTACACGCACGTGGCTCCGATCTCTTCCGCGAGATAGGCCACGTCAGCGAACGGCCCCACTATCATCGAGGTTCCCGTGTCGAAGATGGCCGCGATCGGAGATCGGAGCACGCTGCTGGAACCGACGTAGATGTTCTGCAGGACTATGGACCAGAAGCCGTCGGGGCTGGCGCTCTCCGCCACAGCTACCCACTCCAGACAGCCTGTTTGATTCGACATCACACATCGATTATTCGATCCGGTCAAGGCAGCGAACGTGCACGTGAACATTGCTCAATAAGTACTTGACGAGGGGGCACAGAGGAGGAATATGGAAGGAGGAAGGACCATCGGGTTGTTTGCGTGGGGGGTCATACCATACGGTTGTGTCTGCGATGCCGACCAATTACCGATCAAAATCGCTTCTGTTGGTGGCCCCAAAACTGGCAAGCACGAAACCCTTACCTACCAACACCAAAGCGAGGCTCACACAGGTGAAGTTGCAGAAAGCATCACTACGGACGAATCTGAGCCAAACCTATCGCCGTAACTCGTCAAAAGCTGGTAGGGCCACTATAATAGCGGCATCACCTTCGTAGTGTGTCTGGTTGACCCCTCCGAGGGTGAGGAAACCCGTGGGTGAGCCCGTGTCGATGTTTCCCATGAAGAAAGAGAAGATCGGCACGTCCACCACATTCGCCTGTAATGAATCGTTGCCGTTTGTTCGCAAAAGTCAGTCAAGTGTACAGAGATCTGTAGCGAGGGAGAGAGGGAGAGAGGGAGAGGGAGAGGGAAGGAGAAACGAAGGTAGAGAGCGAGAGAGAGGGAGAGAGCGAGAGATACACTTCAATGGGGGTGTACTACTACCATGGGAGTCAGACTCAGCAAGACGTCTATAATAGCAATGCACACAAACGTGAAGAACACCGCATGACCGGGATGGGGGGGGGGAAGACCGTCAGCGACAACACATCACGGAACCTCGTACAAACCGTACAACACTGCCCCTCGTCCGCAATGCAACGGTACCAACCCTCTACAGCAGCGCTAGGGTGATAACTCGCCCGACATCGGAAGAGACGGTATGCGCTAACCGTGCAGCGCGAACACATAAATAGACGAGGGTCAAACAAACCACCCGTCGTCAGGACTTTGATTTGTAACACTGTTCGAAAGTACATGTACAATACAACAGCACCAGCAGGAGCAACTCTGACCGGTCTGGCCACACCCCAACTAACGCTTAATAGTGGTGGGAACGTTCGGACGCTGTTGTGCGCTACCTTCCTTTGCCCCATGCCCTCTCGATCCCCCTACTGTATTCGTATCATTTACGAACCTCCACAAGGTCTTCGAAGACGCTCTGCTTGTCCGAGCTCGGGACACCCATGCCTGATAAGAGGGAAAATATTTGTTAAATACAGATGTTTTCGTTTCATTGGACAGGGACAACGAGTGGGCCAGGGTGACAGAAAGATCGACACCTAAACTCAAGCGATATCCACACCAAGTTCACGTCCTTCACTCCGCCTGTCAACTCTCGAGGCATCATTTATTTATTAAATACCGCGTTATGCCCCATCTACGGCGTTTCGGGCTGCAACCCAACACTGCTACTACCACCATACTCGCACTCTAAACATGACAATAATAATTATTTTGGTGAATGCATAGGTGAACATGTTTTCTACAGGGGCGGTGGGGGGGGGGTCGTGGTTGGTCCAACGGGCGAGATACCCAAAAGGATGAACAGCAGAAAGCACGCAACAGCCCCCTCCAATCCTCCGCAATCCTACCCTCGTCGCATGCCCCCCCCCCCCCCCCACCGGCCTAGTGTGGCCAAGAAGAGCACAGGCATCGTCTCTCTACAATAACATCTCTCTCACCCATAATTCCATCCATGGTAGTGCAGCCGTCCAGAGATCTAGTGGACATCTCTCCGAACGTAGCGGTGGCGGTCAACCCCCCGATGCTCAGAGTGTCCACCGACAGCATGCCTTTGAATCCCGCGGCAACACCCAGGGGGGTGGAAGAGACGGCGAATCGTAAGATATAGCGTGTTGGTCGTACCGACCGTTTTGCCTTGGCAGAAAGACGTGTCGAAATGTTTGGGGTACTCGGCACCCGATACTCATCTACAGAGACTCTGGGTACATACGTACAGTATATTGTATGATACGGCGGCCCCCCCAGCATGTTGTACAGTTCACTCTCTAATCGAGAAAGGTCTTGAGTCAACTTTTTTTTTTTCTCTTTTCGGTCTCTGACGAAGTTGCTGAACGCAAACTGCAAACACATAAGGTACCAGACAACAAACGCTTTCAACCCATAACAGTGTAGGATTGGCCGACTTGTACCATAGGACCGGGGCCCGCAAGAGATGCGTCCGCCGTCTTTCTTGCAGCGCTCGACTTGGTGCGTTGTTCAGTTGGAAACACGCGTCGGTTACACGCTCCTCAACGCCAGCGAAAAAACAAGTCCTCTCTCAGTAGGGGTATGCCCGGTACTACGCGAAAAGAAACACATGTGCGGGACGGACTTTGTTTTTTTGTCTTCACTTAATATCAGCGCTCACAGCATTTGTGCCGGCTACTTCCAACCCGTGGTCACACAGAAGGGTTCTCGGTTACACGCTCCTCAACGCCAGCGAAAAAACAAGTCCTCTCTCAGTAGGGGTATGCCCGGTACTACGCGAAAAGAAACACATGTGCGGGACGGACTTTGTTTTTTTGTCTTCACTTAATATCAGCGCTCACAGCATTTGTGCCGGCTACTTCCAACCCGTGGTCACACAGAAGGGTTCTGTTCCTCTCCCTGAGGACCCCTACCCTACTCACCCCTGAGAGGTCCTTTTGCCTCCGATTTTCAATGCGAGAGAGTACAGCACTATCTTCCCTCTGTATACAGGCCAGGAGAGGACGCGAGAGAAAAACTCACTTTGCAAGAAAAAAGCTCGCTTGCGCCGGGATTCGAACTCCTGACCCTGACCAACAAAGAATGTCGAAGGTACCAGCTAGACTACCGGGGCGACCGCCTTCTAGAACACGAAAAACAAAAGAATATCTACACGCGTTTGTACCTGTTGCCTCGGAACCATCCTCGTATATCTGTGAGAATTCCCTGCCGTCTTCGACGTAGGTGCTCGACAAGGCGGAATCGTACTTGTTGAAGTTGTCGCAGTCTTCGGTACAGGAAACGCCTGTCACCTGTACTCGGTGGACCAGGCAATTATCGTGAACATCATAGCGCAAGTTCAGAGACGTAGACATGGGCGGCAGCGGTGGCGGGGTTAGAGAGGGGGAGACACAGGAAGGGAGCAGGGTGGCTCACGCTTCAGACGCACACGCATGTTTCCATTCGGGAGCGTGAGAGAAGAGGCATGGAGAGGCATGTGACAACCACACAAGCGGTGAGGGTTGTTGCACGTACGCCTGCAGAATTTCGAGAGAAATCTTCGCAACGTACGGGATATTGAACAACATGGGGAGTACTGATGTGGCACAACCAAGACACGTTGCGCAAAGTGAGAGCGGGAGACTCAGTGATGCTTGCGTTCTTCCCTGGAAGAGCCCGCGTGCAACCCTTTGAGAGCTTCAGCATTTACACGTCAACATTCGAGTTGGTCATGGCTACACTATGGTATCCAGGCGGCCACCAAGCCAGGCGGTCACCGAGTCAAAAATACTGATACAATGAATACAACCGTGTCGAGCTGTAACCCGCAAAGATCATAAGCAGCTCGTGTACGGAGCACATACAAGCAGGAGAGGCTACATAGATAGCTACGTAGCTGTGTGTCCGTGAGGGTATGTATCTATTGTAGCGACGTACAAGTAAGAAACACCGAAGCAGCAGGGCGCATCATCGGGATATGAAACGGGCGGGGCCCGTCGTAAGACTTTCAGCACATCATATCATAGAACTGTCATGATATTTGGAGGTATGATACGTAGACATTTGACCGTGCTGGACCATGTTTACTGGCGTTGTCAGATTGTCAGATGCTATGACGTGACGTCATCCATGATTCGAGCTTTCTGCCGAGGCATGTGCCCTTCTGTTCAGCGCGCGTGTGTGCGTGCGATCGGGTTGATCGTGTGCGCTTGAGCCCTGTGCGCGTTGGCTTGGGGTTGTGTTGGAAGACAACAGGAAAACATCAATCAACAGGAGAACAAAGGAATGCAACAACAACCTGCATCCGTGGTCGGACAAGAGAGTTCTACAGGTTCTGCCTCTTATTTCTTGCTATTTTCGGTCTGGTCCCTCTTTGTCCTCGCCCTTTTTCATTTTATTTTCATTTATTTTCTCTTCTCCTTACGGTTTCCATTTTTATTTTTTCTCCTTTTTTTTCTCTCTTTTTCTGTGCCAGATGGCCTTGTCTCTGCTTGCGTTGTGAAGTACCAAGATTGAACCAAGGGGGTGTACCTCTTTCTCTCCGGCCCATGATAGATAGTGACTGCTAGTCTCAGTTGATACCTCGCATAGCGCGAAGAGGGAGTGGAGGATTCCAGAATATCTGTCGTTGATTTCTATTGACTTGCGGACCCCTCGGGGCCAGTTTATTTGAGTGTACCTTTTTAGGGTAAGTTAACCTGTGACCACGGGAATTGACCGCGTCGAGTGTTGGATCAGTACGGACATACGAAGGTACTGGGTAGAGAGAGATCGGAACGGTTTTTAATGTGAAGACAACAACAACAACAACAACAACAACAACAGCAGAGAGGTGATTTTTTCAGATGGAAGGGTCAAATGTCATTACAGAACTTGACAAGAATCACGACCAGGTGATCGAAGAAGTATCTTTTGTTTAGATAGACTAGACTAGTTTATTTTCTACATGTGACACAACGAATCCATCTCTTTCTGCAGAAAAGAGTAAGAGTCTACGATAGAATAGCAATGAATCCTGTTAGCGTCAGCAGGAACCTACTGCTGTATTTCCATGGTTTCCAGCTGATTGCTTCGGAGTGGAGATAAGTGTTTTCAAACAGAAATTTCTGATATTTTTCGACGCGCGTTTTTGGCCGCCGCTTTCTTCTTTTTCCAAGGGCAGGGACGGATGGTGAGAGTGAGGTGAGAGTGATTGAGAGGAGAGCCCTTCCCTGCTTAGATCAGAGGGAGCGACTATTCTATAATACAGTACTGCTGTACGCTACAACCCTCTCTTTACACACTTCAAACCACACCGGACAGACAGACAGCAGTACATGCCCCCGGGTGCGCCAAACGTTCGTGGTTCGTGGCCGATTCTGCATGTAGCCCGGTCGGTGCCAGCCTCAGACAGACGTCGTCCTACGGCCTTCCAGGTCGGGAGAATTTTCGTGACTAGTCTACTCTCTCGCACCGTGGCTTTGGAGCTCCATCTGGGCTATCGAGTCAGGAGCAAGTGGTCCCTTGCTGTCACTACTAACGAGCGGGGTGCGTCCAACGCTGTGCTCTTAAGCTTTGAAGTCTATCGTAACCAGCTCGAAGAACAGGTCGTGCGACAGCACACATGCAACGAATGCACCTGGGGTACATAGTTATCTGATCTTCTTTTGAACGAAATAAAAGAACCAATCAACGGCGGCGTGCCCTGTGCTACCGTGCGTTAGGGCTATCGGGTGCACAGCAGAGCTCGTCGTGTACACGGCGGTGTGGCGGTATGGCTGCATCTGTGCGTGACATCCGCAACACAACCAACCGCGGCCGTCGTGATGGACGGATTGCGGGACAACTTGTACTGCTGTACTGATACACTGATGACCAGGGTTAACGGTGCTTGCTGCCTGCGCATTGCTCTCCCTAGAGATGATGATGCACCCAACCAAACAGGTTGCTGTTCTAGCGAGCCCTTCCCCGTGCACAACTCACCCACAGGTTGTAGCTCCCGGTGTCAAGCACGACCTCGAAATCTTGCGGAGGCGTCCCGATGCCCACGATGCCGCTGTATTCCGTGTTTTCGCAGTCCATCACCTCCACCACTCCGGCTTGGACATCCTCCGCAGCGTCCTCCTCGCCATCTGCAAGCCGTCTCCTTCTCCACAGCGAGCGGTCCCGCCCTATGGAGGCAGCTGCAGGCGGCCTTCGTCTGAGGGGAACGCCCAGAGGAGGCCGTCTTGTTGCTGCTGGCACCGCTGGGGAGGCTGCGGCTGCTGCTGTTGCTGGGCCGAACAAATCGATCAGCAGGAACAACGGAACGCTCAGGGCGGAGAGATGACATCGATCCATCATCCTCGTAGTATATCGTAGCGATTCTCGGAGAGGGGTGATCACCGCCACAGAATCGAGACTGGGGGCGAAACTCGTGAGGGTAACAACAACCAACTACCTTTGCCTCCCGCTACCCAATATTCTTTGGCACTGCTGCTAGGTGGTGGTTGGTTGCTGCTGCTGCAGTGCGCGCGCGGGCCGAACCACGGGCTTATTATTTGTTGTGAAGAATCTGTTTGCGTGCGTTCAAAAAGGTAGGGAGTACGGAGGGGTGTGTCACGGGGCCGCTCTCTTCTGACGACGCCAACCGGAGCAGTGCAGTGCAGAGCAGGGTGCATGTCTTTCAGCATCGTAGACAACACACACAAAGGAAGAAGCGCCATGGAAGAGAGCAAAGCACCAGGAGGGGCGGAAGGGGGGGTTGGGGGACAAGAGTTGAACGAACAGCAGATAATCGGGACATATCGTGGGATGCTTGGCGACGTAAATCAGATGCGGCGCAAGATCTCCGAACTGGAGCAGGAGGTCTCCGAACACCAGTAAGTCGTCTCGAGATCATCACCAGTCACCGTTCCGTCGTGCTGCCTACAGCACGTGTATGAGACACAGCCGCGCGCCAACAACCGTGCAGCTCTAGGCGCTCACGTGAAGCCTTCTGCTCTTGATGCGCTTGCAGTGAACGCGGCAATCGTATCACAAGCATTGTCTGTGCAGCAAGCGCTCAGCAGCAACAGCACTACATTGTATCTCAGAGTTAATTACAGGTTGCCATTGCCAAGTGGGCACGACTCAATCCAGTGGGCCTGTGATTCGGTTGCTCAAAAGCCTTGAACAATCCCACTCGTGTGGTTTTGCTCCGTACCTTTCACCAACTACAAACCGACCCGCTATGAATGTTCGTTGCTTGCGTGCAATGCGTTCGCTGCATCCTATTTCGATTTGAATCTGTAATAAATCCCCGGCACTTTTTGAAAATGGCCCTTTCCACCCTCCGACGGACAGGCGCGATCACCCCTCTCGACACTCGACACCCGATGTAGTATGCTCTCGGAACCCATGCTATGTTGTATTCACTGCTGTGGTACACTTGTTGGGTTCGAATCGACTCTATAACCATGGTATGGGCGGTAAATTGAGACCCATCGTTGCCCGGGCCAAAGGGCGCGCAAAGGTTGGCGTGGACGAACAGCTCTGTCCGCGCTGAGACAAAGGGCGTGGATCACAGCTACATTAAGTAGCACCTTGAGTACTTTCGCGAGTTTATCGTAAAAACTGTAATCTACGGGTAAGCGATGAACTTGATTCCTGTTTTTTCAAGTAAGAATTAGACAGGGTTAACAAAGTCAGTTCTACCGCCCCGCCGGCTGTTCGTCTGAATGAAGGATGGTGGTGGACACCCTGGAACCCTTGGAGGGGACGCGGAGAGCCTACCGCCTGGTGGGAGGGGTGCTGGTGGAGCGCACGGTGGGGGAGGTGCTGCCCACGGTGAAGGCAAACCAGGAGGGCATCAAGCAACTCCTGCAGCAGCTGGCCACGACCCGGGCCAACAAGGAGAAGGAAGCGGCAGAGTGGAAGGTGCGCGTGTGCGCACCCAGAGGTCGTTTGGTGGCGGACTGGTGGATGTTGTAGTTGAAGGAACGCCCAACTCACGAGATGATGACGCCGGAGAGACCAACCGAACCACGTGTGCTGTGCTTCCGTACTGTGGTAAACTTCTTTGTGGCTCTGAGAGCAACGAGTAAGGGTATGGTAGCCCAAGTGAACGCTGGCGGCCTGTAGCTGCTGCGTCACGATTGGCAGTATTAACCGTGGCTTGGAGCTGTCCTCGGTTGCTTCCCCCCTATGCTGAACGCGACCAAGACAAACCCTTAGTAGCCACTGCCTAGCTTATTTACGCGCCATCTACCCGTTAATCTAGCGAACGTCTTGATGATTGCCGTTCCCAGAAGAGGAAGCCGGCCGCATGACGGGAAGTTATGAATCGGTCGGTCTTCCTCACATCCGCGTGTAGTGCTCCACGCGTACAGTTGAGGCGTTTCCGTGTCTCCTGCCAACGCGTGGTCAACCTTTGCGTCCTTCCCCCATAACCCTTGCCCCCCCTTTCTCTAAATCCCTCCGCGCCCTCACCCTCAGATCAAGTACAAAATACGGTCTCAACAGGAAGCTCAGGCGATGTCACAGGCACAGGGGATCCCGACACCACAAGCATTGCAAGCATGACTCTTGATAGCTAAACCTACCCCTGGGGGTAGAACTTCATTTAGGGAGGGAGGAGCATCGTTTTCCGTTGTTGAGTGTTGGCGTTCGCGTTAGGGATGGCTTACGTAATGGACCTTTTTTTTTTTTTGCCACCCTAGAGAAGCGCGTGTCGGTGCGTGAGGATTGAACTACTGCTGTCGTTATTTAATTTGCCCCATCATTCGTCTTGACGCCGAACTTTGGTCTCTTGTTTTCTCGGGCTCGTGGTGCTCATTTCTCTCGTCCCGTTGTCGTGGGGATTGTGATGGTTTCCCTGCTTGCTGTGTCCCTGTCAACCACGGGGATTACCGTGGGAGGTAAGAAGCTACAGTTTGGTAATTTTGATGTGATACCAAGGCCGGGAATCGTGAGAGGCTGGTATAGTTCGCGAAGTGGTTTCAGCAGTCAGGGACGCTGCCACCGCTGACTGCACATGGCAGTGTACTACGAAACATGATGACGACGTGGTTGACACGAAATTCGATTTATTGCAGCGTTTTTTGCGTCGCTTCTGGTCTCGGGGCGAACGGAACCAACTTGTGAACATCGCGGAGCATTGTGTGGCGCAGGATGATGTTGCCACCGACTTGGCAGGTACCTTAGCGTTTTTCTCCGTCTTGACGATCACCCGTTACGGAATGTGCTCGTCCTGGTGTGTGGTAGACAGGGAAACTTTGGCAACTATCCTGGACACGCAAGTTTGCAAGGGCACAGGAGGACGCACAAGCCCCGCCCCCCGCCTTCCCCCATGTTCATTGGGCTTGTACTCGTCTTTCGGCCGGGTCGGTTGGAGAACCAAAATTCTTGAGCCCATCCTGTTCTATCCTAGTCTTCAAAATCAACCCTTTCCGATGCCAATCTATGACCACGGAAGGCTTCTGCGCGAGTTGGATCGGTCCGGCTGTTGGAAGGTACTATGTAGAGTGTAGAGATCGGAACGGTTTTCAATGTGAACAAAGACAACAACCAACAATAACAATTTCGGAACCAATTTACTGTCTCAAACCGACTGAAACAACGCTAGGGGTATGCATACATCATTCAGCTTCGGCGACCGCCGGTTAATGAACTAGCAGCCCACATAGCAGCTACACCGGTTTTACGAAAGCAGCACACCCACGCGAACACATGTTTAGTGCCGCAGAGTTTGCGCCCCCAGTGCTCGCGACAACGATACAACAATCACGGCCGCGCGAAACTCTTGGCTTCATCACCCCCTACTCCCACGTGCAAACGTCTCCCGGTACCTCCTGAGAAGGGTGAACGACCTACTGTCCCACCTTTACGCTCACCAGCACCGGTTGTACTCCCACGAAAACCGCTTTTCAACGCCTAGTTTTCTTGCGAAACGAACAATATATTGTAACAAAAAATTACACATCAGAATCCACACCTCTGCCATGGGCGATAAGAACGGAGACGCACGTGTTTCCAAGCTTCCACAGGAAGCTTTTTCTTTTTTCGCGTGAGAGGCGGCCACCACGTACTTTCACGTTCGCCATCATCGGTTGTAGGCTTCAAATCCCGCACAACAGTTTTTTTCCGCAACAACCACTAACAACAAAATCAAACATGTGATAATCCCTTTCCGTTCTGAAAAGCACCCAGGATCAACTAGGACAACATGTGCTTATTTGCTTCGAAAAATAGTTTGTTTCTCACACTAGAGGCGCCGGCGACTAATATTAACACCATCAAACCTATCCCTATTGTACCAAGCTTGCTAACAACCGACCAGGACTCAACCAACCGTGGCCGCTGCATCGGGTTTTCTAAATCTCTCCCTCAAACGTGGAGACAAGCAGCATCCAGAAGGCGACCGCATCTGGCACCACAGCTAAGCTTCCTGAAACGATCGGCCCAAGACTTGAAAAGACACTGCCAAGACCAACAACGGGACGAACAAGAGAAAAGCCTGCCCATCTCGCGCTGGCTCATCGCGCCTTCGATGCAACAACAACACAAAACAGAGATGTGCCTTTCACTGCATTTGGTCCCTTTTCTCGTTACGTTCTCCTTCGCCTTGTGGTCGAAAGTCGACACTCTTGTGGCAGGTACCACTTGAACGAAACGTGCCATCAAAATGTACGGCAACGACGATGCACTCTTTTTCCAGCGTTGCCTGACGAGGTCACAGAATATGTAGCGCTTGATTCCGCCGCGAACAAGTCTCTCACCAGCCAGGACGAAAAAAAAATGCCGGGGACATAATCTGTCGCGCACTGGTCAGGAGGGTCAGGCTAGATCATGCCGCGCACATCCCACAGCAGCTCTTCCGCGTCTACCGCACGCACCCCCCCGCCGAGCGTCTTGTGGTAGATCTTGCTCATCCGTTCCCAGTTGTATGACCTGCGGCAAACAAACGATAGATGAGCCACGTCGGGGGCGCCGTTTAGTTCCAAGCGAGTGAGAGAAGGGGTGGGGGTGGGGGGACGCAACAGGAGATACGGGGAGGGGGGAGGGAGGGTAGATATTGTGGCTTGGTGAGTGGCTACCGCCATCGTTCTAAGGGAACAATGAAACGAATAGCGGGAATCGTCCGGGAAATGTCACAAGGCCCGAGAGGGGAACAAGAACGCCTTCGAAGCCAAGCCTTTTTCATTCACCTCCAAGCAACGGGGGGAAACAAGGCGATTATCTCCTCGTCTTCCGTTCACCTCGCAACCCATCCTGCTGGAAAGACAATGCAAAACCAGACCCCCGCAACCCCTGACAAATCGCTCCATTCCATTACATGGATGCGAACCAAATCAACGGTCTAACCACTTTCATACAGCGTGACTTCGCAATAGTACACCCCCCCTTCCCTCCATGGGCGTGGTAGCAAAGGCTACATCTGGTGGGTGGCTCACTCTCGGCGTTCCGGGGGAAGGTCCGACACTTGCGATTCGCGAAAGCCTCGCTCCACGAACCACTGCATCGTCACCGTTGACAGAACGAACAGGTGCTTCACGGAGGAGGCTAGGGCCACGCGCTCCAGGTAGCTCAGCATCGCCTCGCCCCATCCCCGCTGCGATTCAAGAGGTAACGTCGACACGTGAAAAACTGGGAACTTCGCGGACGGGTGAACAACATAAAATCGCTTTCTAGAGGTTATTAAAGTCGAAAAGAAAACCAGAGGAGGGCGGGGGGCCACAACAGCAACATGAATTGGGCTCTCTTCTCGTATCGTACGTGCTTCTTTTTGCGAAAACAACGTCCTTTGAAGCACTGCTCGAGGCATCTGCTACGGAAAAATGTTGCTACAATCATGTACCACCACGTGACACTTTTTGTGTTCCGCTTGTTCGATTGTTGGTGGGCAACATCAACACGTCAGCACTCTAACAACACATCAATCGGAAAAGCCAAGGGTATACAGAAAGGGGCTCAAGACAAGACAAGAAACACAAACACACGAAGAGCCTCAGTATTCTTTCTCGGTGTTTGTTTGTGTTTTGCTGTACCAGTTCAAGACAGTACTGCCTACACCAGCACACCAGTTCCACGTTAACATATTACCGTCACCTTCAGATGGACTCTGCGAGCTATGGTTCATATCGCTCTCTCTCTCTCTCTTTCTCTCTCTCTGCCTGTGTTTCTCTCTCTAGACCAAGTTACCTCTCACCTTTCGGTAGTCACGGTGAATGGCGAGACAGCCAACCTCGGCGTGATCCTGCCCGTACCGCTTGAAAAACGCCACTCCAAGGACAGTTTCATCCCTTCGTGCGCGCGCATCGAACACGTCCGCCGCACGAAATCGCAACGGCACAAAAAACGCGGGCAGCAGCAGCGAAAAAAATAGAGGAAGGATCCGGGTGGAGGGAGAGACATGGCCGGGCAAGGTAAGAATTGCGCCTCGCGGTAGTGGCCGAAGCGTACCTGACATCGCCACCGGTAAGAAAGAAATACAACAATCTGACAAAGCGAGAAACAAGTGCATGCGAACGTAGATAGTCACCTGCGCCTTATGTTTGTTTTTTTCCGCTTACCTGGTGATGACGAAGAATTCGTTGATGTCGGCCTCTAGCTGCTCTGGCGTCCTCGGCACCAGAATCCTGTTGTTGCAAAAAAAAACATGTGACATGAGTAGTTAAAAGGGAGACGGGAGGCACAATTAGAACACCGCGACAGACTCCAACGTTAAGGCCGTCACGAAGGTCTCATTGCTGAAGTATCATTTTCTACTTGCAAACAAAAGGCAGGCGGAAGATATAAGACACACACGGTGTGGGAGCAGCACACCGAGGTCGGAGCTAGAGAGGAGGCACCACTACGTGGGGAAGTCCTCTCGTGTCACCTGTAACCCCGTGCGATTTTCTATGGCAGCAGCATCCAGCAAGTGCCCTAGTCTACGGACAGCTAATGTCCTGTCGCAACACGCAGGCAAGGCACAACGGCAGTCGAGATCCAACCCCGGCCATACCCCCCCCCCCGAACAAAGAAAAAACACAGGCGGAGGGTCGGCGGCAGGGGGCCAAGGGACTCGGAGAAGCTGGTAGAAGCGCAACGTACCCTTTTTTCTCCAAGGGAACGATGATCTCCCTTATTCCTGGGATGTCCATAGGATTTGCGGGCCGGATACCGTCATAGCTGCTCGAGATACGCGACGCATCAAGAAGCAAAGAGGGCCGTCCGCAACAGGGTCGGAACCACCACGCGAACCGCGGATTGACACCGAGTCGAGCGTTTTTTTGGGGTGCCAAGCAGGAACGCAGAGAGCGGGCGAGGGACGGCGGCGGAGGCGCGGAGGCAACGGCCGGTTCGAGTGAGGAAGGGGTGCAGGCGTAAAATAAAAAACACGCTTGTCGTGGCGTTCGTTGATGTGATGCGAAATGCTGCTGGACCAAGACGAAAAACGTATGATACGACACACGATGATTTGCATCAAGCAGAGCGAGCGAGATTGCGGCTGCCATCACGACCCCCGCACGTCGAGACTGCTGTGCACGATCCTAACTGGCTGGAGGGCATGAGATGACGATCGTCCCCCACTCGGTGGTCATTAGATTCCGAGAGCGTGCTGTCGCGAGCAAGAAAACACTCACATATCCCTCGAGATAAGGAGGCCGGCGCCGTCCCTGGTGTACAGCTCCTGCAGAAGCGCACCCGATGTGGGGGGAACAACGTGCGCTCTCGACACGCCCTGGAGCATGAAACCAATCACACCGGGAAATATCATAGAGGGAGTTCGAGTTGGGAGGAGTAAGGGACAGGGCGTTAAAACGGGGGGGGGGGGAGAGGGGCAACGTGGATGTTTCTGCAAACGAAAAAGCAAGGGGAATTTGCACAGTATCAGACGCGAACTGCGAGGGTGCGAATTTCATTCGGAGTTAAAACGCAGCACCCAATATCTTCGAGTTGGCACGCCGTCCTGATCGTCTGATGCAAACGTTACCCCCAGCATGATGCTAGTCTTCGCTTGATTTAACGCAAGAAGATACGTCCAAGACGCAAAAGAGAAACTCGAAACATGCAGAAATCAAAGCACCATACACCATACCTGGGTCAGCGCCATAACGGCCTTCTCCGTGAGTCTCATCAACCGCTGCTCCACTCCGTGCACATCACCAGCACTGCCCCCCCCCACCGCCGCCTCTTTATCTGCAGCAACCCCGCCGGCCATCTCCACTTCCGCCGGCGGCGAGTCCTTTTCAACATCGACGGCGGCCATAGCGCCGGCTCCGCTGCCGGCAGCAACAGCTTCCCCATTATTGCTCTTTTTTTTCTCGTAGCGGGAGAGCAACGACCTCGCCTCGCTCAGGCGCATGCTGTTGATGATCTCGCCTGCGTGGGTATTGTTCATTGGTCAGTGCATGTGGTCGATTGATGGGAAAAATCGGTACGTCGCGAAGAGATGCGGTGGAACGGAGAGGCCTGAGGGCCAACAACAATGGAGGAAACGTCTTGTGAACGAAAACACGCCTCCGCCGCACAACGCATCAGAAACAAAGAATGAACGTGTACGTTGTTGCGTCCAAAAACGTCAACTCCTTTCTTCCACACCAAGGACTGCAAGACTCCATGGCAGCCTAGGGCGACCGCAGCCCCTCCCGCGTGTAAAGGGGCACCCCACCCTTGTGATAACAAATCATGCCGAGGGCGAGGTAGTTCAGTCCCTTGCCACCTTTTCACCGAACCTACGGCCGATTGCTGCAGACGGACCTGTCGTCGCGTCTTCGAGGTAGCCATCGGCGATGTAGATGAGCTTGCTCGCGCCGACTGAGGCCGCGCACTTGGCAGCAAGGTCGACGCTGTTGACGTTGAACACCTAAGGTTGGCGACATGCACGACAGGCACAGACCCCAGTGGTGGCGGAAAGCACCGTGGTCAGCAGGGAGGTGCTACAAAAACTTGTGTTTCGTCGGGGCAAAAAACAGGCGATACTGAACAGATCCTAATATTCCATTGATTTGCATTTACATGTGCGATGGATTTATCAGACAACACCGTCTACAACATAGCTCCTGTTGGTCGTTCTGGGCACATGGTCGTGCCTGGCACAAGAGCACACAAGACACGTGTGCTTGCGGTACACAAATCACCAGCACTTTGCAAGCCGCTTCGCAGGCTTCTCTTGCTTCCTCACCTCCCCACTCCCGCTGTAGCCTATGCACGTCAAGTGAACCACCCCCCCTTCGTTCAGCTGGGCCCTGATCCTGTCAGCTTCCACCTTGCGCACCTCCCCGGTGCATCCATAATCCACCCCATCCCTTACCCCCACTGGCTGTGCCGAGAAGAAGTTACCCCCCGCCACGTGAAAGTCACCCGCGGCGCCTCCTCGCGCCCCCCGGCTGAGAGCGCTCTCCACCTCGATGCGGACAAAGCCGGCGGCGGCTTTGATAACCTGCTCTTCAACACAACAAGACAGACCCGACACGCGACGACAATGATGGTTTTCTCAGCGCAACGAAGAACCCCCGGAGTGCTGGAGATGGTGGCCATCAAGCACAAATCTCTAAAAAAACTCAGCTTGTTTACCGTGAAGACGACAAGGACGGCGAGGACCGTACCGTGTGGTTCGTCGCTGGGTGGTCACCTTCAAGGCCTCCTTGCTTGTGACCCGTAGGTCATCTCTGAACTCCTCCTTGATGCCAGCTTGCTGCAGCAGCGTGGACATCTGCGGTCGTGCCCCTGTGACGATGACGAGCCTCGCCTTCGAGTAGCATTCCCCCGTTTTTGGAATAGTCGCGGTGTTGTGCAACGTCGCGTCGTGCCGCAAGAGGTGGAGCGATTGTTAGAGGTCAAAGTCCACAGTTGGTACGCAGACGGAAGGAACAGAGGGAGATGGACAAGTGATACGGGCGCAGTTTGGATGGTTGGGGCACTTTTTCATTCTGTGAGAAATCTTCGTGCACGATTCGAGTGACAAGGTCCGGGTCTGTTGGATCTCACCGAAGGCGCGGTTACACTCTGGCGACTTCGTATGGAGCAGTCGCAACATCTGTCGCTGCAGGTTTATGTATGGTACATAGGGATTCCACCCGCAAGCGTGCCTACCATATCTACCGCCCTCCGCCTGAAACCAGGCAGCGTCTCAACTAGACTTCGGCACCCGTTTTTGGCACCCGAGGCCGGGTTCAACCGTTTACAATGCCAAAACAATAACGCTGCCTCGATACTCGCCATACAGGGACACGATGTGCCACCACACCTCTGTATCGATCTGTCATCAGCGCCCCGACAACCGGGGTTGATCATACTTTTGTAGTTCCTCACGTTTGAGGAAATGCGGGAGAACACGACAGCCACTAGGAACAAAGCAAGCAAGAGCACGCAACGCCCGTAGTGGTACACAAGGCTTCCCCTCTCACCCCCAGCAGCCTCAGCAGCCCCAAGTCGTCCATGATGCTCGTAAAGTTGGGATCCTCGACCACCTCACCACCCATGTGGATCACCATTATTGCCCCGAGGTGAGCCCGAATGTACGGCGCGCAGCCCCGAAATAGGTCGACGAAGCTACCGGAGGTTTCCTCGTCGCCCTCCCCAGAGAGAGACCGCACTCGCAACGCGTCCATGTTGACTCGCGTGATGTCTCCGACCACCGGCAGCACGGGCGGCTTCACGTTGACGCTGCTGCTGCTGCTGCTGCTGCTGGTTGACCCTGTCGCTCCCGTGGTGTTATCCGCAATCGTGCTTCTTGCGGTTGCAGCAGCAACGCCCTGCCTCTGCTCTTTGCCGGCGACCCACAACCTCGTTCCTACCGCCCGGGATGACCGTGGACGCTTGCTACTGCTGCTGCTGCTGCCACTACGCTCGTGCTGGAGGCCGTAAACGGCCTCAAGGCTCCACCTGACCTTTCTGCTGGTCTGGAGGTTGTCGCAAGGGCAGGCGCTGGTGGTGCTGCCCCTGGTGCAGGTACTTGAACGACGTGGCCACATTCCCGGAACGTCTGCAACGAAGGATCTCGCCACCTGAGCAAGGAAAAGGGCCGTCGCCAGCTGCAACAGCATCCGTGCCTCGCCGAAGTAGCCGGGAACGACGACGCTGCTGCTGCCGCTGTGGGCGCCACGGCCGCGCCTGTCTTGTTTCATGATCACAGCTTTTCAAATTGAAACTTTCCACCTTCTCAATTGCTACAGCAGGATTGCAGAAGGCTCTGTTCTCATGTCGCAGATTTATCCACGCACGGGTCGTTCACTCAGGGTGATCTACGCTTCAAGGGAAGAAGAGCACGAGAGAGACACACACGCCACCCAGCACAACCCAGAATCCTGCGCAGTGCTCACGGCACCAAGCAAGTGGCTGGACCTTAATAAAAAAATTGAAGGGCGGGGCGCGTGTACGCTTGGGGCTCCGCGAAATCAAAAGCTTGGCGCGCGGCGCGCGCCGCTACGGCAACCCCTACTTCGGCGCGCGCTGTGAGAGGCGCCGATCCACACCACACGCGCCCTAATAAAGCAGGGTGTGGCAAACAAAAACCATGCCTCAAAGGACTTCGATAACGAACCCGTCATCACTCGAGGTACTGGCGGAGGGCGGCGCCTCCAAGACGGAGAATGAAGAAGGAGGCCCCCAGGCAAGTGATTCCATCGCCCATTTGAAGCCTTGTGTAGCTTTCCCCTGTCGCTAGTCGCTAACTAACGTCGTTGATTTCCCGTTGGCCATGCGCAAGTGTAGGTTGACCCGAGGTGTCAGCATGAATCGTTAGTACTAGACATCCCTCTCCGTTTGTACGCACAAGAACTCGAGCATTCGTATGCATCTCTCCTCCCGTATGTCTCTTCTCTAAATCATTTACGTTTAGTGTAGTATACAACAACGAGTGAGGCCTTCTACTCTGTATCGTTTGGATACTTGTCATGAGGGTGTACTTGTACTTCTAGCACGTTCCATCACCAATTATCAAGGACGATAGACCGGCACGGTTGCCATGCCTCGTTCATATTTTCAATCAACGCCAGCAGAAGAAAGTACCGCTGTTTCGCACCAGCGTCGAGCGCCACGTTGTTGATGCTACGCAAGACAACACCCCCCCCACATGCCCCCCCCTGATCATCAGGTGGTCACTGAACCAATTACCACCGGATGTGTTTTGGGGGGGTGGTATCTTTTTGCAGCCCTAATTGCTTGATCAAAGAGTAGAGTTGTGTTGTGGGGTCATGTTGACCCTTCAAATTATAACCACCAGGGTGGTGTTGTGTTGAGGGGGGTGTTATCCTATGTGGGTGTTATTTTGTGTCGGAGTACATATATAATACCGGTACTAATTTCTAATTTCGACAACCACAAGCGGCGAAACTGTCGCGTAATGACTACTAAGGTACAATGAGGGTTTAGAAACACACCTGCCGGAAATAGAACTTTTGTGGGGTACATATATTGACAAATCTGATCACCTGTCTACTGCTGTTGTCGCTCGAAGCCGCCACCGAAGAGCAGTCCAATCCGGAGCGTTGAGCAAGAAAAAATGACAAAAATCGTACAGAGTAGTCTCCGAGCCTCCATACACCCCGCTCTTCTGCGGTGCTGTCTCAGCTTTGTCTATTACGAGGAGACCGAGTGTACTCTGGATATCATTGGCTGCACAGGCCTTGACTTCCCCGCTGTTCCGCGAGCTTGAAAATTGCGGAACACTGCTGTTGTTGCTGCGCCTAGTTGAACGGTATGAAGTATTGCGACCTGCACACACCATACACGCGGCACCTGTTTGCTCGAAAACGAACTCATGGCACCGCCAGCCCCACGCGCATCATTTTCATGTCGTCGATAACATCAAAACATGAACACTCAGGTAGGACAAAGGTGGAAGGTAGCGTGGCGCGACGGTACGGTGCACCTCGCCGAGATCGTCGATATCCGCAAGGCGGAGGGAAGCTCGGACGCCGCCACGGCCTCCGCCGCTGCCAAAGCTGGATCTACGGAAAGAGGTAAGAAAGCTCCAGGGACCGCGGCGGCTGGAGGTGAGCCCAGCAGGTCTAGCAGTGCAGGAGGTGGAGGGGCTGTTTACGTGCACTATGTGGACTTTGACCGGAGATTGGACGAGTGGGTCGGGATGGAGCGCGTCGACCTGGCGGCGGGGCAGCAGAGAGCGGTGGCGCATCACAACGGGGACAAGCGACGGGTGACGACAAGGATGAAACGTAAGCACGCTTGCTTGTCTTGTCAAAAACCAGGACGGCGATGTGTTGTCGGTTGCAGCAAGACGGATGGGCAAGGCCCGGGAGGCGAGGGGAAGGGGTCGTTGTCGTGGGCGTGTTCCCTTCCACTGCTGGTTTTGTCTCGCGAAGAACATCAAATATGAAATCAGCGAGTACGGTAGGTTAGTGTTTTGCGCCTTGGGCGATGAGGTTTGAAGCGAAGGGTCTGTTTGTTTTCCGGTGTGCACGCCAGCAGATTTTTGCATGCAGACCTAGCTCTCTAAGATTGTTGTGCACGGGGTGCCTCAGTTGATCGATTGACCCGCCGTTCTCGCATGATTCGACAACGTGACGTCGTTTTCTTTGCATTGCCAAGAGCCGTGCGCACTACTGCAACTACATCACTTCGTCTGATGCAGTTGATCACGATGTGCTGCATGTAGACTTCACGGCCTGTCATCATCTCCAATCGACTGTTTTCGTCGTACTCGTTTTACCGATGCCCGGTGTTCGGCACCTCTTGCGTGTAGGAACTGCTGTTATTGTGCCATACTGTACACTTGACGGTTTCATTGATGGTCAAGGCGTGGATGTTACCTCTCAGTTGGCATGGAGAGCGTGTGCGTAGGCTTACTTTTAGCGGACAAAGTCCTCCTTTCTTTGTGCCTCGTCTTCCGGTCGAAGCTAGGCCAGCGTTCGAACTCCACGTAGAATTAACGCGTGGATGGATCGAAAAGCAAATGGGTGGTGCTTCTGCGGGAATGAGCTTGTTCCACGCCCTATTTCTTGTTCTTCGCCCGCTCAGGGGAGCGACTCTTTTTCTGCCCGCGTTTGCATTCCCGCTATAAAGATATTGCTTGCCGCTCTAATTGTATTGCGAAGAGATTGTTCTTGCCTGGAACAATCAGCGGGCAACGTCATCAGAAATACTGTTGTTGAATCATCGCAACGCTTCGATGTTGTTGCTTGACGTGAAATTACAAATTACGCCGCGCTTTTGCTACGGTCGTCTTGGGGCTATTTTTTTTTCTTTTGCAGGAAAGTACGATGAGATGGGCTCAAAAAGCGGGCACGGGGGGGGCGGTGACAGAGAGGGGTTGGATGCCAACATCGCCATGTTGGAGAAGGAGCACGAAGAGATTACCAAGGTGGGCAAGTCACAATGTACGGCGCAAGATAAGTATGTGGCGTGTCGCACCCCCACCTGGCAGATGCTTCGCTGGCATCAAAACCGCGCTGCCGAGCATATCCGTCCCTCATTGTTCGCTTTTCTCTAGTTGAGAGCTTTTCCGCGGGTTGGACGCAATTATCCCGCTTTCTTCCACCCTAATTTATTGGGCCTACCTCTTTCGTGAAATTAGCATGCCTTGCTCATTGAGCTTTTTTTCTTCGTGGTGCTTCTTTTGTTTTCGCTGACTGCTATTGCGTTTGTCATTTGTTTGTCCTCGTTGCTCCTGGCAGGTAAAGAACGTGCAGAGCGTGCTTTTGGGCAAGTTCGAGGTCGAGACGTGGTACTTCAGCCCCTACCCCGACGATTACAGCAAGCTCGACAAGGTGCGTCCGGTCGACATAAAAGATTGGATGATACTTCGTAGAAGAAATTCTTCTTCTCGATCGAAAAAATGCGGCCTCATTTCGAGGCGCACGGAGGCTTCTTGGTTGCGGCTTAGTGACGAATCCAATACCGACAGACGAAGATGAATTCCCCCCTCCCGCATTTCTATCGCTTGTTGACTACATTCTTTCCACGAATAAGATGGCAGGCTCCCGACATAGCCTGCTTCCTCTAGTTTTTTTACACATGCCGTCGTTGGTAGTAGCGTGTCGGTACGTCTTGTCTTGTCTCTGTCCTGTCTTGACACTGTAGCAACCGCTTGTGCCTGTGTCGCGTGCCTTCCTGCCTGTTCCCTGTCCCTTGTCATTTCCTCGCTCTCTCCTCTGGGAACTTGTTTCCGTTCGGCTACATTGTACGTGCTGCAGCTTTTCGTGTGCGAGTTCTGCCTCAAGTACATGAAAAGGGAGTCGACATTCACCCGGCACCGACAAAAGTGTACCATGAGGTACTGTATACTGCAAGTAGGAATACGGAAACCCGAACTCCAGTAGCATTGCTGTTGCTTTTGTTGTTGTTGTTGTCTTCACATTAAAAACCGTTCCGATCTCTCTACCCAGTACCTTCATCTGTCCGTGCTAGTCTAACTCTTGACGTGGTCGATTCCCGTGGTCACAGGTTCGTCCTTTTTGGCTGCTACAGTACACACGCGCCCTATTTTTGGTCGCGATTACATTCGGCAAAGTCCTGTTTGCTCATGCTATTAATAGACAGATTCAATCAGTCCCATTCTCCAGTAGGCGCCGTTACAAGATCGCTGTCAAAGAAAGGCTTGATAGAACACCCCCCCCTTGAGATTTATATCGGGTGGATAAAAGTTCGGCCACAAAGTCCCGTAATTCCAGAAATACAGTACCGTACGAACTCCAGGGTTGGGGTCCGCTTGGAGGGGAAAGGCTGCAAGCACTGACGTTGGGCGCGTTGTAGGCTGTGTTTCAAACATATGACGCTTTCTTTGTGCTTGTTTGGGGGTCATACAGTATAGCCCTTCAGGTCCTACTACTCTTGTCCGTTTGATTTGTTTCGCACCCTCCCCCCCTTGGTCCGGGGACGGCATACCTGTTGAGACCGCCGAAGCGACGGTCTACGTGTGTGATTTGATCCGTCTTTTTTTTGTTCTCCTTCCGACCTTTCCGGCAACAACGTGGTGGCATCACTCGTATCCTGTTTTTGTTTGTTTCCTTGCTCTCTCCCGCGGTGTTCCTCGTCACGCAAGGCACCCGCCCGGGGACGAGATCTACCGAGAGACCGCAGAGGGCGGCCAAGGTTGCGGCGTGTCGGTGTACGAGGTCGACGGCAAGACGAACAAGGTCTACTGCCAGAACCTGTGCCTGCTGTCGAAGCTGTTCTTGGACCACAAGACCCTCTACTACGACGTGGACCCTTTCCTGTTCTACGTGCTGTGCGAGGTGGACGACGCGGGCGCGCACATCGTGGGGTACTTCTCCAAGGAGAAGGTGCTGTAGTTTTGTTATACCACTGCAGCTGCTGCTGCTGTTTCTTGAGGGGCACTGGGGAAGGGGTGGGCTTGCATGGGTTGATCGATCTAAGCATACGCATTTTGGTTTCTGCTGGACCCACCTGTTGAGCGTTCATTGGCTCCACCGAAGTGCTATTAATACTTGCATTTCCGCAGTGAGCACGCGCCTGTATTCTCCATGCAAATGGCGTTTTCCCACTTGCTTTTACTTCGTCATTATGTCGCGTGAGACAGAGCGGTCGGTGTGCTGCAAAATTGTGTGTGTACTCAAAATGCTGCTCAGATTGTAGCTGAACCCTGTGCACCACCGGAGTACCAGTATCCCAAAATTGTCGTCCCACCTGAGAAGAACCATGTCAACAGGACGAGACTATAATATTCTTCGAAGTAGTATGCGTATGTATAGCCTTTTCGAGGCGAAGCTGACGTTTTCTTGCGTGCCTTCTCTCTGGTGTTGTGGCTATTTGCCGAGTCGTTCTGCTGTCCCACTGGAGTTATTTTGGATTTTTGTCTTCGACATCCTGGCTACAACGTTTGTCCGCTGACGCCGCGGTTTGCCGCTGACCGTCTTGCCCTCCTCCCTCCCTTCCCTTGTTGCCGGTCTTGCCGTCCCGCTGACTTCTTAAGTCCTCTCCTGAGGAGTACAACCTGGCGTGCATACTCACGTTCCCCCCGTTCCAGCGCAAGGGCTACGGCAAACTGCTCATCTCGCTCTCCTACGAGCTCAGCAAGCGGGAGCACATGGTGGGGTCTCCGGAGAAGCCGCTGTCGGACCTGGGCAAGCTCAGCTACCGCAGGTAAATGATGAAAGTGTGAACATGATTCGATGACATTATCACAGCAGTCATCCATCCTTAGAATGGGGTCCGACAACCCCCTCCCCTCCACCGGTTGACTTGCTGCTGTACTGCTGCCTCGGTACATGGTTTTTCGCACGTGGTTTTTTATTACCTCTGACGTCGTTCCTTTTTTTTTTTTTTCCGGTGCCGATCTCGACGACACGCGGCGCACCCACGACCCGAAACGATATCGTGGCAGCTACTGGACGTACGTGCTGATGAACATGCTGAGGGACTACAAGGGAGAGCTGTCCATCCGGCTGATCAGCAACATGACGGCCATCAAGACCGAGGACATCATCAGCACCCTGCAGTCCCTCAACCTCCTCCGGTACTGGAAGGGCCAGCACGTGATCGCCGTGTCTCACACCACGATCGACGAATGCCTCAACAAGAGCTCCCGCTTCAAGCTGTGCCGACCGGAGTGCCTGACGTGGCCCGTCGAGCTGGAAGACTGAGATCTCACCAGTCTCACGTAACTTTAAGCACGTTGTAGACATGAGACATTAGCACAAAGGGCGGGGAGAAAACAAAAATATATGTTGCTGTGCGTTCGTTTGGGACCCTAGAGTCTCGCCCTGCGATTTTTTGTACCGGTATTGGTCGTCAATCCTCTGTTTTGCATCATTTTACGCGTATTGTTGCTTGCCGGAGAAAAAAACGCGCTTGTTGTGTGTTTGGGTTGTCGTGAGCTTCCACATTGATGTGGTACCGTTTGTGGTTTCCTCATGCGACATCGTCGACGGAGCTTTCGTGAATGCAGTGATACAGTGTACAAGCCATGCATGCCAAGAAAACACACGTGCATGATCTCTTGCGTCTTGTTCCCATTAAACTGGTAATAGTTGAAGAGTATCATAGAACGCGGCACCACACATGGTACGCAGGAAGAGGTCTCCGTCCTGTTTGTTACTGCGCTGATAATCTCTCGTATTGATAAGTCGGTCTTTTTTCTTGTTGTTGTGTACTGGTGTGGAGGGTATCTATTTTGCGATGACGGTGTGTGTGCTACAATGTGCTGACCGCGACTCTCTCCGCTCGGGATACTTCGTCGCCCGCCTTGTAGAAAAGAGAAAAGAGGGTTGTCACCACTTGTATTTTTGGTTTTGGGAGAAGAAGGCGTTTTCATGTTGTATTCGAAGGGCGATGAAAAAAAAGTGAAATGTAGCGTAAAAAAGAAACATACGCCGCGCGATACGAGCCTCGATCCGTACAACTGAAGCACTGGCGGATCGTCGTTTTTCGGTGGTACAACAATTGGCTGTGATACAACATGAATACAGAAATTCTGGGGAGGTTCTCGACTTGAAATAAGCACGGCGGGGGGATCTGAAGAGAATGAAGTCTCAAGTCTCCATTGCGACCTGCAGTCCGGGTCCAACCCAGATAAATGTTACCAGTAGGAACAGACAGCTGAGTCGTGGTCCCGGTTTAGCGGTTCCTTCCTTGTTTAGCGGGATGCCCTGAACAGCGATTCCAAAATCTCGTGGCACGGCTGCACCTCAGTACTCAATACTGCTATATGACTGCCAATCCGGTTTAGCGGCGATGCCCTGAAAGGTGGTTATATTATCTCGTAAACCGGGATCGCGACTGTACCGACTTGTGAACAAAACACCTAGCTAGGAGCAAGCGGCGTTACCGCGAGACACAGCAACAAGCTCCGTGTGCGCCGAGCGTAATATGCCACATCTTGGACACCTGGACACCACAGAAGGTATTGAGGGTTCGGTCACAGCACACCAACCGGGTTTCCGACAAAAAAACAACGAGCAAGACAAAAAGAAAGGGATCACATGGCGTTCATGTTCTCGTATACGCGGGACTATTGCTTCTCCTCATCATTGACCACAAGCATGTTCCTGCGGAGAAAGGGCCACTGCCCTAAAACCTGACACCTGATGGGGGGGGGGAGGGCGCCCATTTTCCATGCACCGCACAGAGATTCCAACACCAAAAGTCGCAATAGTACTGCTCCCCCTGCCTGGTAAACGAGCAGAGAGCAGGCAGGCTGTCACACGGTCACCCAAAGGATTTCATGTCCGACACTGATTGGTCAGCAGGCCTTTCATACACACACACACACCCGCTGGTGCACGATGCGATTCCTGCCTAGTGAGCAACACGTGCTGTTGGCCCTGCTGTCATGTATACAAAGAAGCAAGGGTCTCAGGTGTCCATAAACGAACATGTAAAAATACTAAACTCCGGCCATGCTCGATAACACCTACACCGCATGGGCGATACAGAGATGATGCTTCCGATATATTTCATGTGCAGAGGCACCTGGAACCCTTCACTCCGAATAGCAAACACTACAATCATGACTGTTGTCACGATGAAAAAAAAATCTTCAACCAACATCAACCCCACGGAAAACCACATGTACCACCAAGGTACGGCAGCTTCGCCTTAGTGCGCAAAAAAATATGCCCCCCCTCCGCTGCACGCCAGCAAACGACCACAACGCTACTGGCCGAGAGCTTGGGGGGCTCATGTATATCCAGAAAAATACCGCTGCAATCTAAGGAAGGCACATCCAATGTACACTCAGCAAAAAAGCGTGAAACTATCATAGATGCAAAGAAAGCGCGTCAGTCTCTCTGTCGCTACACCACCCCGACTTGACGAAAGGTGTCTAGTCTAGTCACGCGGCCATCCGTGACCTCGTTCCCTCGACGTGCTATAATACCTGTCTGTTCAACTTGGTGGCAACATACACCGTCATTCCCGACCGGTTACATACCACGCGGATCTCTACAAGTATAATACCACGTGACCAAAGGGGAACGGGAGCGTGCCACGATTTACAACACCCGTTAGGAGCAATACCGGCGCCACCACCGAGAAGTCGATACGCTCAAACTGTGGCACGAGGGGTAGCTGTGCGTAGCCATGCAAGCAAAAAGACCAAGCCATACATACCTTTGAAAACTCTCCACAAACTACATCAACTAGACCGACCAACGCAGAGAGAGGGACAGACGCCTACGGCTGTAAGGAGCCACCCTAACAATCTCACAAACACGCCTGTCTCAACCGGGAAAACCTAGACCTACTTACAACAGGGCCGTGGGTGCCTTTTCACACATCCGCGAGCCGCAGCGTCCGGTCGCGTGGCCGCGTTTTCTACAGGGTACTACAATGTACTGCTCAATTCACTCTCAACCCCACAGTAAGTCGTACACTGCAGTTCCACTATCAGTTGAGTATTGCAATAAGATGTCATGCTCCAGTCTCACTATTATTGCTATCTCACCGTACATTGTAGTCAATGACAACGAACATGGCGTTCTACTTCCTTTCCCGCGCACAAAGCTCAGGCGCGAGACATCGTTCACGTCAATGCCGTCAGTACCACAAGACCCGGGTATACTACAAAATATATACTAGCAAGGGAAGAGAAAAAATGGCCGCGGCAGGGACACAATCAGTCAAACACCGCAAAAAAACAAGAAAAGGGTTGTCGCTATTGCTGTATCTATGCTATGTGTACGTCTAAACGGCCAAGATACCCTCGATTCCGAAAAAGCATGAACAAAACACTGCAATAAGTACTACGTAAAAGACTATCGTGGAGAAAACGCTTCCTTGACTTGCGCCTTTTCTTAAAACAGGGGCGGCAAAAACGCGAACGGGAAGCTTTATTCAGCCAGCAACACTAACGAAATGCATTCAGTACACTTAACAAAATGCACGCAGTCGGCAATATAAAACAAATAAAGACTCCTGCCGAGCATGGCCCAAGCCCCACGTGCCACCACTCGACAACCTGTGAGGGAGTAAAAACCTTCAGGCGACAAAAAAAGGGAGTGCTTCACCACTACTATCTGATGATGATCAATGATCAACAGGCGTGCTTGACCACTACTACTATCTGCTGATGACGGTAATAAGAGTAGGTATTCAGGTAAGAACCCCACCCTAAAACTCTTGTACATTCCTATGTAGTAGTTTTTCTTTTTCCATGGGGTTACCCCGGAGAGGAAATAAGACATGACACGAGAGCCTCGCGCAAAACGTGGGGTTCTAAGCAAATCTGTACACCCCCTCAAAATCGCAGCAAAGCATAGAGAAGAAAGCACAACCAGCATAGAGAAGCAAGCACAAAACATACATGAAATCCAGGAACTGTTCCAATTTTCGCCAACAACAAGGCGTGCCGCTCTCGTCCAAGATCTCCCCAAAGAGATCCACCAAAGGACAACCCGATCGCGCACCCCGGTTACGATAGCGATGTGACCGCCCGTTACGTCTCATGTCCTCCTCCGGGTTTGCAGGAAGACAAGGAGGCGTGACACCATGCTGCGCCAGCCCCCTTCGGCAGTAAGCTAAGCCAGCCAGACCGTTCTTAGAGGCTTCGAAAGGGCAGCTAGCTCCCTTCGCGCAGCGCGCGTAGATAGGGAGTTGGCGTCCGCCCGCATGCCGTGTCCCCCCCTAGTATCATGTCCTATTTCTGTCCGCCGCTGGCTAACCGTGATGCGACACGATGCAGTAATTTCGCCACGCCAAGTCTATGCCCTTCTCGTCGGCTCGATGACGGGTCTAGAATGCGAGACGATGCAGTCGTTTCGCCCCGCCAAGTCTATGCCCTTCTCGTCCGCTCGATGACGGGTCGAGGGTTTCCCTCAATGACGCTAACAAACGCCACGCCGGAAGAGCTGGCATCGGGGGTCGAGTGATCAAACCAAGGGACGATCGGAAGGGCAGATTGAAAAAACGCTCTCATGTAGATACACAGATATGAACAGATCTGAGGTACATACGGGGGCGGGCAAGGACACACTGGGTCCATAACAATTATTCTGAAAAATTGTGTAAGCAGTTCTTACTTTGAAACGAATTGAAAATGAGTGCCAGCCAGCCAAACAGAGAGCGTGTACTCCTACTCTGGGCGATACTGGAAAATATGACCACGTGATGGTACCCCTCAAACATTCCCAGAGCCCTTCCCCGACGTGTGTCAACGACTACCTCAGGGGGCACGGGTACAGGTTACTTCGGCGAAGCCTCCCCTTGCCCCCCCCGCCGCATTCCTTTCTCTTACCCCGTGAGTGCCTTGCTGATGTCCAGATGGCAAAGCGGGCAGCAAACGTTCCGGTTCAACCAGTCGTCGATCTCGCTCACGTGAAACCGGTGAAAGCAGGGGAGGATGCGCACCTTGTCCCCGGGCTGATTCGAGGAGGCGGGCAAGCAAAAAACGGTACAAGAGACGAGCAGGCGGCGACAGACAGGGAAGAAGTAGGGTACACCGATCACAAGAGGTCCACCAGTAATCATGCATAACATCACCCCCCCATCGGTGACAATATTTCGGCGCTAGAATTCTCTCCATAAGGAATGAACCATGGAAGCTGTTCTCGGCGCTGACAAAAGCGCTTCCCATGACTTCCAGAAAACCGATCGATCGCTTGGCCGAACGACCTTAAGATTCTCGTTGCAAAGAAGATGGGCTTCGGCAAACATCACAGCGAGCGGCGGTCTTACTTGGCGTCAAGGGTTTGTGTAGACTTTCATCACGGGGGCCGGTGCGCTACTCCTACTCCTGCTACTGCTGTCCCGTGGGACCCCATAATAGCCGCTACCTCAGGTAACATCCGCTCCACTTTTTATCGTTCAAAAGCAACAGGAACCGACCGATCCCCCCCCCCCCCCCCGTGTATGCCCCACTTTCAGTGTCCTTCGTTCCCACCTGGTAATCCGATAGACAGATTCGGCAGGTCATGCTGTCGTCGTCGATGGGCTCAGCTTTCGGCGCTTGTTCTCCGTTCGCGTCGACCGCCTGATGTTTCTTCTTCGCGCACATCTCCTCGGTCACTACCGCACGCCAAAACACCACGGGACAAACATGGAGGGAGTACCTTCTGTTGGTGAACACGTCATCGCAGTGTTCGAATTTTCTCCGACGCAAGCCGTCCGCGTCATACTTCAGACGCAAAACCGACAAGTGAAAGACTTCAAGCACAAGCAAGAATAATTCAACCGCCGTGAAGAACCGAAACAAAAGAACGAGAAGAGGGCCATGCCAACTGATTCCTCTATCTTGATTACACGCAACTGCTGTCTGACCTCGCAGAGAGAGGCGGATGGTCGCCCAAAATCAGTTCGAGAAAACGAAGAGAGAGGCGTGGTCAAAGGTCCAAAACAAATCACCACGACAAGCAATAGATTCCACTTGTAAGCAGTCCAGTGCCCTCCCCTCCTTCTCTCACCGACGGTTACGGGCAACCGTTCCACCAGCTCTCGGGGCAGGCCGCATCCCTGCCCGTGAAGCTCCTGCTCGCTGAGGCTGAAGCACAGCTGCATCGTGCCTCCCACAGCATCTCTCACCTTGCTGTGGACGCATGAGCAGAGATCAGACGTGGATGAGGGAAGGGGAAAATATTACCAATACGGTACAGCAGCGTGAAAAGAAGGAAGGGGTCGTCAATACAAACAGGCATTGGAGAGATGGGACCACAGCAGTGAGTTCACCTCCACAATACCCCTCCTTTCATTGATTGACATACTTGTAGCAAACGCCAACTTTCATTGACTCTATCGCTTGTAGGCAATTCTCCTGCCCCAACAAAAACCCACTTAGCCTTAGTGACGCTCTCTGGATAGTTGACCGCCTCAAAAACACCAGCCTCCATCAGACCCTCAACCTCACGCTCTACCGACACCTTCTTCCTGGCCAACCAAGGTGAAATCAAGGCTAGTGGCTAGAGGAGATTTGCACCAAGCACATGCTGATCGTGGGGGAACGTATGCACCAACTGTGGCAGGTTCTAGCGTTCGCATATTGGCTGCGATGGCCTGTGAGCAAACCCTTTCTCTTCGCCATTTTGACATCAAGCACGCATTCGTACAGTCGTACATACTTGTATTTGGATGAGGATGTTTTCATGCGTCTGCCAGAGGGGTGTGGTAGATTGTCAGGTATGTTAGTGAGGTCGAACAAAAGTTTGTGTGGCCTGGAACAGGCGAATTCATGAGCCTCGTTCTCGTGTGCTAGATGTCGCTTCTTCAAGATTAGCGGCGAGTCGAGTCTTCATTAATGTTCACAACCATCCTCTCTGCGATATTGTCACGGGTTCGCTACATCCGTCACGTCATCCGCAGTCCCAAGAGTGTAGACGGATCTCAATGCTGGACCGCAAACTTATACCCTCCCTCCGTTTCCACAAATCGTGTCGTGAAGGAATTAGAAATCGTATAAAGGCTTTTCTATGGGAGTTTGGTGACTTGCCTTCGGGGGGCGACGCACGAGGAAATGGCCAATGCTATTGCGGTGGTATCGTCGCATCTCAACGTTCGGTAGTGCCGCGACTTCCGTACAAACTGCAGAGGAGAACATCGCGCACGTGTTGTTGCTAGGAAACTGTTGTTTTTCTCACCGTGACTTTTCGCGCGTGCGAGAGCGCGTGTGTGCGGTTCGGCTAGCAGCGTCTTTGCCGCAGACCCTACGACATCATGTACGCATACCTCTCTCGTCTGCTCTTGTACGTACGTACCGCGTTGCTTTCGACTTCGCTCGGACTACTGTTCGAAACGTAGCTATGTAGGTTCAAGGGTACTTGGCTCTTGCGTCAGTGGTTAGGGCCCGCACTAATGAACCTCTTCCGCAAATTGGACGAGGCTCGTTTCTCATTTTGTCTACAATACATGGTGCAATGGTAGTGTAGGCATCTTCACTTGAGTACCTGCTCTTATGGCCAAGTTCCCAAATTCTCCAGCCTGATTTCTAAACTCCCAAGTTCCGTGCTGGCCGCTTCTACGTTCTTTGGCAGGCGAAGCGGCACGTACAAGGTGGGCGCGGCTGCACTATCTAATGGCTGTGTGATCGCGGTTTCGTCCATGTGCCTTCTTTCTTCTGAGGCCACAGGCAGACGTCAATGTGGTCAACCCAGGCAGTACAAAGTGCTCCCATGGGTTCGTCTCTCAGTGGCTGTCGGACTTACGAAGTGTTGGCAAACATTGCTGGTGGGTGATTTTGAAGCGGAAATAAAAACTCTCTTTGCTGAGTAATTTACCCACAGGAGATATATCGCTGCATGCTGCTCCGGGAACCGTAGAAATACAGGGCTAGAAAAAGCAGGTGCTCTAGGACCACAACGTTACCAATTCAAATCCAATCTATGACCTATGACTGTCCCGGACTTGTTTTTTTGGAAGAAATTGTTGTAAGTAACGGCATGCTAGCTACGGCGTGTTTTGAGAATAATAAATACGTTGCTTTTTGTACGTTCAGAAAAAAAAAAAGGAGGAAGGAAGGGCAGCTCACGCACAGGGGCATGGGGGGTGGCAGGGTGCAATGAATGTGCCACTGCTTGCTTTCGTAACTCACTTCACGAACCTAGATATATATGCATACGGACACGGAAGTTGGGCAAGGCCGTCGCGTGCCTCCCCGACTGTCCCGATGTTTCGATTCCCCCCCCCGCGCGCGCGTTTGGCAATCAAAATATCAAAATGTCGTCCGTGTCGAAAAAAGTTCCAAAAAGCATGCGTGCAAGAGGCTTGTTCCCGTCCCTGTTCCCCGCAACAATCTAAAAATCTCAAATATCCCAAAAACACCCGCGGAAATAAATAATTTGCGAACTGGAGAGGCCCGTGGAGTCCTGTACAGCAGACGGTCGGAGGAGGGACTACAGCTGCTGTGGGTATCAGTCCTCTGCGGTGAAAACCACCCCATATCTCATGCGTTCTTCGCAATGTTCATGTGTCGACCGAGACGCAGCAGTGCGACTGCTGCCGCTGCCGCCACTCTCTATGATTGGAATGATGTGTTTGCTGTCGACTGGCAAACACGGCACAACATGGGCGGATTATTCGGAAGTTGTAGGTTACGTTTGCTGCAGCTATACTTGAAAGGGGGACGTTTCAGCATGGTACACCTCCGTAGGCGTGGCTGTTCAGGCAAGCTCCATTGCGCCTTCAGTTTTAAAGGGATTTTTTAACACATGGCAGAGTAATCAAACATTGGCCCGGGAATGCAGCCTGATGTCACCTTCGGGAGTACAGATCGAAATGTGAAGTTTGGTGGTTGTGTTGCACCAATCAAAATTGGCATCATCTCATCGTTTCTTCACGACGATACAACAAAAGTCAGAGTAAAAATACCGTGAACACAATCCTCTCCAACACCATCGTCACTAGACTGGGTAAGGTTCGAGGTGTGTTCTTCCTCATCGCAAATCTCACCTGAATACCAGCGAGCAATGACACCTGAAGGTGTCGACGTTGGGGACGATGAGCAACCTTCAAGATTTCAAGATTTTACGGCGAACAGCAGGGGCAGGGGAGGCGAAAAGGCACAAAAAACGTACCCACGGAGTTGATCAGAATATAATCGTGACCACTGAGGAGACACAACCATGGGGCCGTGTGTGCAACGCCGGGTCACGAACAGAACAGCAGCAATCACCGGCGGTAGGGATCCGTCCCCAGCGCAGGGGCAACAAGAGAGAAGGAGACGCAAGCGTGCGCGCACTCCCGCGCACGACAGAGAGGTTACGTCAAAGACGAAGATTCAAACAAAGGGATCAGAAGTTTTGTCCCACTATTTGCCCCGCTTGCAGCCCTCACCTACGGCATCGCGGGCAGGACAGGTGTTTCGTGTTCACCACTCGGTCTTGGTCAGGGTCCTGCTTAGGAGCTCGGGTGCAGCAGGACCAGAACATTTTTTTCCGGGAGCGGAGAGTGGGCAAGCAGGGCCAGCAGGGCGCTCACAGGCAATACAGGTGTCTGATGATGCGCCTGGATGCAGAACTGCAGGACTGCAGGACCTCATGTGGCGGTTGAGGTTCAGTTCGAGAAGGGTCGCCGCGGTTGGAACCCGCGGAAATGGTAGGTGGGGGTGATCAAACACTCTTTGACATGGGCCGCTTGCACATCGCATCATGGCTGCAAACTGCACTGCACTTTCTCTCTCTACAGCTGCTGTGTGTATCCCGTGAATGCGGATCGGTGACCTGTTGCTCTTTGCAGTAAGTGCTCGTGGTTTTTTCCTGAGCGTCACGCCCTCTGCACACTACAGCAGTACGATCTGGAAAAGACACGGCGGCAGAGAAAAAAACTCTCCGCTGCTCCTGCTGCAGCTACCGCCCTCGGCCAGAGCATCCTCGGACATACCAGTAGTAGAGATGGCTGTGGCAACGGCCTCGCGACGCCTCGGGAAAATATTTCCCTCCAGCACTGTCTTCTTCGCGTGCGATGTCCAGGAGCGATTCCGTGACCTCATTCACAACATGCCGGCGGTCATCTCTACTGCAAAGTATGTACTTGGCTACGTGTAGAAAGGCGGTTGGGGCGGTGCATGTTTATTCGTTTGCATTCGTTTGTTCCGGATGGCCCTTTCACGGGTCAATGCATAATCGTGAGCGCATCCTTCCCCGGCGGACAGCAGAACGGTATTGATGCTCAAGCGATGGCACATGCTACTAAAACACGCTGTGCCTCGGATGTGTGATCGCGGCCCATCTTGCCGCAGATTGCTCGAGGGGTGCAAAGTGCGGCGTAACGAGTGACTGTGTCCATCAAGCCGTATCCTTACCAAACTCCAACCTCGCCTTGGTCCTTCCGCCCGCAATGTCGCGTTGATGCCTTTTGCTCCCATGATACCACCACTAATCTTGCAGGTTCATGCTGGACGTCTCGCAAGAGCTGGAAGTGCCGTGCATCGTAACCGAGCAGTACCCGAAGGTGACTGTCTATAACGGTTGTCAATGCACCGAAGGTCCGGGGGGATGCACACACACGCGGACCAACCCTGTCTAAAGTCTGTACGTGGGCTGAGTACGGTGTATTATTGTAGTCTTGAGCCTTGTGCACGGCCCTGCTGCTGTAGCAGAACCCTAGTCAGAGAGCCAGAGGTATTGGACATGGGACGGTGATCCTGTCATTCATCCGGATTTCGTTAAAGAACATCGATATATATCGGCACCAGCCAGCCGTACGAACGAATCCGAACACCCGACGAGATTATGTTCACCGCAATCAACGCGCTCTTCCAGGACCGGTACAGCAGCTTCGAACCGAACGGGTTATTTTCTCGAACGGGTAGTCGTTCTTTGAGATATGTACATTTTCTTTATCGGAAGGCGATGAAGATCACGGCGACCGTATGTACCTATCGTGGTGTGTACATCAGTAACCTCACCCAATCTTCGATTCCTTGCTGTTTGCCCCGTTTCGTCTTCGTTTTTCGTTTCTGAAGGCGCTGTTGCACACGGTCCCAGAGCTTAATGTCGGCAAAGGCCCCGACCAAATCAATGTGAGAACAAGGTGGCTTTGATCCTATTTCTTGTTCGGGCGGCTGCTTGTGCCATTTTTCTTCGTGGCGATAGCTTCTCCAACCGGGCTCTAGTCGGCATTCGTACGAATATTTTGGGGAAATTTTGACGCTCTCATCATGCGGGAACTATTGAGCCTCGGGCACTTTGGATGGGTTTGGCGTGTAAGCCTAGACCGCTTGCTTTTGTGATGTCGTACCCGCTGGCCTTTCGGTCGTGCTCCTACCCCGACTGTTCGTTTTTTTTTTCGTGGCGTTGTGTCCGTGTTCCTTTTGTCCATGCCGTTCAACGCGCTGTCACATTACCCTTGCCACGTACACCAACTTCTGCCGCGTTCTCTTGTGCGTTTTGCGACAGGTCCCAATCTTTGAGAAGAAGTTGTTTTCAATGTGCACCAAAGAGGTCGAGGAAGAATTGAAGAAATTGCCGGACAGGAAAGACGCCGTGCTCTTTGGCATCGAGGCCCACGTGTGTGTCACCCAGGTATGAATGCAAGCGCGCGTCCACCGCTGTGTGTTTCGTGTCTTTGGCGTGTCTAGCGATAGCATGGCCTGAAGACCCACAACCCTGTTTTGTGGCAGGGTAAGCTTTCGCCAAGCCGCAGTTGGTCTGGTTCTTGGTTGCCAGTCGTAGCGCGGCTGTTACCCCGCGGTCAGAGCTTGTTGGGGATTTGTTTAGCCGTCGTTGCATACAGTGGCTGCTACTGCTGTTTGCCGAGCGAATTTGGCCCTGGCGGTCTCTACAGCGATGGCCTGCTTCGAAGAATCGTAACTACCGTGCAAGGGATGTCTCGAAAAGTTGGCGGGCGGCACCGGTGTATGCATGGTCACCGGAGCGTGATTGCGTACATGGTCCAAAGTCTATCATCTCATCTTCTTCAGCTGAAGAATTTGTTGTACGCGTTCCAAGGACTTGTCCACCATGCAATACCTCTTTTGCCCCTTCAATGCCACTGCGAACATGGAGTTTATTAATCAACACGAAGTTCTGACGTCTTCAATTCAATGAAATGACCACCGTTCTTTGCAGACGTGCCTGGATTTGCTGGACCTCGGCTACGACGTCCACGTTGTCTGCGATGGCGTGTCAAGCCAAAAGTGAGTCCCGAGCGTACAAGCCATAGACAGAGTGCTGCTACAGCAGCAGCGCACGTTGGAAGGCATAGCGAGCGGTACACCCGGAATCCACCCAGAAGTGTGCGTAGGTTTGATGGAAACGTGAATTGGTTGTGCCCCCCAAGACGGAAGCAGGGATATCTGGAAGCTTGTGGGTCGCCTCTGATTTGACTTTTTACGGGTGTCTCTGCCGTTGACTGTATGAAGAAGCGAGCATACCGCCAGCCATTTTCTCAATCGCCTTCTATGGCGCCGGGTGCCGTTGAACTACAGACCACACGACCGAGCAGTGGCGCTGCAAAGAATGCAGCAATCGGGGGCGTTCTTGACGTCGGCGGAGCAAGTGACCTTCCAACTCCTCCACACGGCCGAAAACGAAAAGTGAGTTTACGTCCTGAACCCCGGCAGTGGAAGCCCATGTGTACCCTCTTTCGCGTGCTAAATGTGCTCTAGTTTACTGCTTACGGGCCGTGGTCCCAATCAACCAACGGAAAGTCTTGGGGTTGATTAAAAACCTAAACAATCACCGCACAGCCCTCTCCAATATTTAACGCCCACACTCTGAGGACATTCGGCGTATTTGGTGACGCCGCTTATGATGTCAATGAGGAACAGTGATGCCGTAGCGGAACCTGCAGCGCGGTCCGAGAGCACCCTCGTCTTCGAGAGCACTATTATGGAGTTGTCACGCCCGAACCCCGCCTGGCACACTACGCCGACGCTTCCTGCGGAGGCACTGCAAAATCCACTACCTGAGATCAGTCGGCTTCCCCTTCGGCCATCAGCAACACGTACAACACGTACCAACGCCTGGCACGTGTCGCTGATGACCCTGAGGGAAACTGATTCCGCAGTGCCCCCGCGGGCAGCGTCGGCGTTGCCGGGCGGGCTCCGCGTGGACACTGCATGACCTCGAAGACGGGGGCGCTCTCGGACCGCGCTGCAGGTCCCTACAAGGAGTTGGTAGACGCCTTGCATCGCAACCAATTGTGCTGCGCCGCACGGGTTGAAACGGACGATGGCGTGCCATGTACGTAGCGCCATTCCTGACTAGGTCATCGCCTGCCGCACACTCCGCTGTGGGTCTCTTATCGTGGATTCACCACCGGTTGGCGTCCGCCTCGGCGATGGTTTGAGGTCTGACCTGCTTGCCGCCTCCCTCTCCTTTTGTCAACTTTAATACTACAGGTTCAGGGCCGTGTCCAACTTGGTGAAGAAGCGCAACGCCGAGGGTATAAACACGTTTTCCACAATGTCCACCCTCTAGGAGAGTCTCGACTACTTTTCGAAGGGATGGTGCCTTGTATGTGACCGATACAAGCCCTGCTGCTGTCTATGGCTCTGCTGTTCTCGCTCTGCACGGTTCGAGGGTTGTTCGGACTGCTTGTGTGATGGGGTGATTGTTGGGCAAATGCGATGGCTGTTTCCGGCCGCGTGGTTCTGCCCCTCGATCGAGGGAGAGAGACACACACACACACACAAAGAGAGAGAGAGAAGAGTGATAGCACTGGAGATTTGCTATTTCATGTATGTATGCAGAATAGTCAGGCGGGGTAGAGAAGCCATTGTTTACTGTTTTGCCAAGGTGGACCTGATGTTCTGCGGAGTATTCGTCAAGGTGGGGTACCAAGCGCGACAGAAGGCCTCCAAACGTTCCGTCCCTGGACGTCCACGATTCGCTTTTTCCTGCAGTAAAACCGTATCACATGGTGGAAAAAGCGTTCTAATGTGAGAGCAGGGTATTTTGAGCGGTAGGACGGGGGGTAAAATGCGAGGACGGCGTTGGGTGTGGTGAACTGCGTCACGAAGAAAGGAGAAACCCTCCCGGTCTCGGCATTCAAAGAGCTTGTATCTAGAGGGCTCACACGTTCGCGATGGAGCGGCGTGTAAGATGCAATACCTCCCGCGAGTTTGTTGGCGAAGTGCACCCCGTTCGTACTTGTCGCCAGTTTGGTGATGCATGTTGCGACTTACACGAGCGGCAGGCAGGTGAGCGTGTCGGAGGGAGTGAATAGAATTGAGACGACAGATAAAATGCAAACCACGAAGAACAAACCCGGAAAAATCTCGGATTGTAAAACAAACGAGAGGCTTTATCCTGCAGATCGACATGCACAGACGTTCTCGTCAACGCCACGGCGTGTGTGTGCACGAGTATGCAAGCATACTCCAGAAGCAGTTTTGTAGGGATATTAACGCACATGAAGGCACTTCGTTGCCACTGCTGCTGCTGCTGCGATGGATGCGCGAGATCTTTGGTCGTGGTTTGCTATCCATGCGGATTCCCTCCCCCCCCCCTACCCAGAATTCTGCTCTTCAGTGCCCCAACCTCTCTCACAAACCACGGCGTGGACTCTCCATTCCACGATCTCTACAAGTAGAACCGACCTCTCATGAAAACCACCGCGGTGCGATAGCAAGAGGTTCACCTCATAAGGCAAGGCTGTCCGCGCGCCCATTACCGCGGAACCGAAAGGAGAGTTCAGGAATTTTGGGAACTTGTTCATCCGGAGGACACACACAAAGACCAGCTGCCTGCCGTGCTGCTGCTGTGGAACACCAAAACCATCATGTCGGGAGAAAACACGCTGCGGAGGAGCGATGAGCTTGGGGACATGGCGCCTTTGGTCACGAAAACGGACAAGATGGCTCGCAGAGTTAGGTCCTACTCGTGTGGTGAGACTCTGGCGTGGTGTGCGGCGTGTGATGATCTTGTGCATGAGATGCTGCGCCCAAGTTCAACGTTTGGTGGCTTGATGTTTTGAGCGAGGGAAAGAGCGGGCTCCGAAGCAGGCTTGTTGATACAGCAGTGAAAAACATCCCGCCCGGGATGCTCCTCAAAGATTACGTCGACCCTAAACAATGCCCTCCCCGGTGTCGATGTGCAAAGTCGTGATTGTGAATGCACCGTGAACGCTTCGTGCCTCATGGCCTCGTCTATCTACGAACCGTCCACGCAGTTTTATGTCCTTGACTCGCTTCATGGAAAGTTTGGCAACACTCGCTGGCTCCTCAAACCTACTTGGCGCTTCTGCGCCTCTCCTTGTGCGGGACGCCCGCTCGATGTGATCGCTTGCGATCGATCGCGAGAGAAAACAAAGCGTAGCACACGGCCTGCTTTCCTCGACCCCGTTGCTATCTCGCCTCTTTTGCGCCTCCGCCTTGCGGCCGACGCGCGTGCTTTGTTCCTTGATTTTGAACGGCCTCCCCTTCTCCTCCCGGCCTTCTTCATGTTCGATGGGCTATTCTCGATGACAACGATTACGTGGATCAATAATGGTGATTTTTTTTTTTGGTGAGAGATGATGATGAAAGAGCCAGATTTTGGCGTGGCGAGTGGCGAGGTTTCTTCCCGCCCCACCCTTCTGACTGCCCTGCCTCCCCGCCGTCTTGGTTTTCCTCATGCCTCGCGACGCTGCGCTACCAGTGGAAGCGCGACCGAAAGGCGCCAGTGGGGCCACCCGGCTCAGCATCTTCGCGCGTTTGCCGGCGTCCTGCCCTTATGTTGGAAGCTTCCACTATGCCCCAAGGTATGCAGAAAGTTCCTACCCACCCTTCGTTCAGCACAAACGTGCGCGCTTGGAGCTTGGCTTGGCTGTGTGTGTCATTCCTGCTGTGTTTGATGGTGGATGTTGATGCCGAGGTTGGGGGTCTGCGGTGACAGGAGGGATTGGGGGAAGGGACTGGTGGGTCGAAAAACGCTGCTGAGAGTCCAACGAGCAATCGAAGGTTTATGTAGGTTAGTCCCATCTCGGGGCTGCCCCTCGTGTTCGCCGCTTGTCTGTTCACTACCCCATGCTGCTACTGCTGCTGTGGCGTCACTTATTCGCCTCTCCATTTTCTATCCGTTGCCACGCCCATGACAAACAGCGTTGAGGAACGCCGCGCGAACAGAGTTGTTGTGTCCCACCAAGATTCCTATCTATGTTTGCTACATGCGCACATTTGTAAACACGTATGAACACACACCACTCAGTATGTACGCAAGTATTGTACATAGAATAGAAGTCAACGTTCTGTCCGGTATGTACTGCTGTAAACGTTCCGCGCCCAGCGTAGCGCAGCGCACCGCGAGCATTTCCTCGGCAAAGCCATTCGTGGGGGGCATATTTGTTGGTGCATGACCGCTGTTGTCTAATTCGCGAGGTTGATGCACGTCTTGATGCATGCACGCGCAGCGCCGGGAATCGCGCTTACTCGTTCTTCGAGGACAAGATAGTCCCTCACAGAGAAGCGTTGCGACTGCACAAGATCAAGACCAACCCTCTCACAGGCAACTTCCACTCGAGGTGATTCATCGTCTCATGTCGCCGTTCGTGTGGTTTTCTAGGGTATGGGGATTAGCAGCCGCGGTTGAGAGTGTGTGTGACTGCAGGAGTTGGCGAAGATTGGAAGATTGATAGCCGGTTGCGGTTGAACGACAGCAAGAGACACTGCGGTAACTCCCCGCGAGATGTTGATCTGTCGATTGGCATCGGCCAGTACGACGCACGGAGCTCTGGCGTATTTTGGAAAGCTTGCCAGGCAAACCAGCAACATCAGTGAAGTGTTGTTGAAAGCAAGATGTTCCCGCGCGGTATCGGGGCTGCCTGTTGCTTTTGTCACGCAAAAGTAGCCTCATGGTGCCGACGTGGTGCACTCCGCGGCCAGGTCCGTGCCATTAGGACGTTGGTTGCACGTGTTGCGAACTTTCCGACCTGCAGATCCAGGTTGGTTGTACAAGCTCGTATGCATAGTTTCCATCCATGTTGGCACAGGTTTTCATTCCAACAACCTGCAAACCCGATATGTTTGCACTTTTTGGTTGGAGACAGAGCATTCTATCGCACAACGGGTGAGGAGGACACGCAGTTTTCGTTGCGCTTTTGCTCTTGGCGTCTCTTCTCGGACACGGTCGGTATGCACTCTCTCGGAACTATGAATTTTTAACTTCCTGTGTCCCTCTCCTACCTTTCGGCGACAATGGGGCGAACAGGCCCGGGGTGTACAGTAGGCTGCACGGCTTGCAGAACTTTCGGGAGGGCCTTGTGTCGTTGGAGGAGGGTGCGACGATGGACGCAATCGTCGCGCGCATCAGGAGCTCTCTCACAGGCCCTTCACTGACCGCAGCAGCGAGAGAGACTGCGGAGGCAGCGGCGGCAGCGGCAGAGGTTAGGCGATGGAAGCTTAAGCCTTCGGCTGCATTCCATCTAACAAGAGCTCGTAAAGATATCTGCCACGCGATGGTACCTTATATGGCGATCATGCCCACGGCACGGACGGTGTTGTCTCATGTTTGTGCGGGGGTGGTGGTCGTCGGACCCTGCTTTTCGTATCTACCGACACTGAGGGTAGCGTCACTCTTAAGAACACTACACTACGTATCTGTGCACAAGCCACCAAAACCGCAACCCTTGAAGGATCACGCCGGCGTAAGTTTTGACGAAACCATTTACAAGATGGCATCTCACGGCTGCTAGGTCTCGGAGGAAGCCCACCGCTATCAATTTCCTCCTCTCTCTCTCTCTGTTTTACCTCGCGTCGCTTTGCCGTGGGCCGAGCCATCTGACTCTTTCGTGCCTTTGAATGCCGCCACCGTATATATAGGCTCTGCGACAAGACGAGGAGGTTGACGCCGCAAAAGGCGGCGTACCTCGCGGTGCTCTCACGCCGTGGGCCGAAGCGTCCGCCCGCCTCCCCGCGGAGGTGGACGAGGACGGACGGCCCCAGCTAGGCTTCCGCTCTCACACCCTCAAGGGGTTCCGCACCCCCTTCTCGGCCAGCGATGCCCAGTCGAAGGCGGCGGCGGCGCTGATGGAGGCGGGCAAGGCGGGAGCCAACGGGACCGGCGACGGCGCGGCGAAGCGGGTGGCAGGGCCTTACAGCAAATTCTGGAAAGAGGTGGACACCGAGCGCGGCCGGTTCGGCACCTCGGTGGACGACAACGCTCTCCCGACGTCCTCGCAGCAGTCGGTGTCGGCAGGGGGCTCGTCAGCGGGCGTGGGCGAAAACATGAGGGCGGCGGCGGTCGCCGCCGGGGTGCGCGGGGTCGGCAGGGCCGGGGTACACTGGGGAAAGCACCACCATCACCACCAGCACCACGAGCCCCCGCAGCAACGGAGCGACGAGGGCGCCGGGGTCACGAAAGAGCGTCCTGGAGAAGCAGCGCTAAGGCTCCGGCATCAGTACCTTCTTTCGGCGAGACCGAACGCGGCTGCCGCCGCCCAGCGAGCCAAGACTCAGGTCGCCGTTCCCACTCGTCCTGGCGGTAGCGGCGGCAGCGGCGGCGGCGGCGGCGGCGGCGGCGGCGGTGCTGCCGTCGTACGTGGCAACAAGTACGGTCACGGTCGGGGCAACTCGTACGGCCGCGGCAGTGCGTACGGCAGAGGGTTTGACGGACTTCGCGGTGGCCACGCGCACGGCCGGGGGGGGAGGATGGATGTTCCCCTGGTGGCGCACCGGAGCGTGCCGGACGCGTGGGTGGCTGCTGCTGCAGCGGCGGCGGAGCAGAGCGGCGCAGGAAACGGCGGCATGAGGAGGCCGCAGTCGAGCGCACACGGCTGGGAGAGCCACACCGTCAAGGCGCAGCAGAAGACGGCGGAGTACATGCAGGGGAGGGAGGACCTGGCGCCGGACATGAGGCCGGACGTGGTGCTTGACAACGAGGTGCGTGGGGCGACAAAGGGAGAGGTCGTTGCTGCTGTTTCGGTGTATATGAACATGTTGAATTTCATGGGTGTTCTCTGTGTGGCGGGTCTTGTGGCGGTTGTACGCCGGGTCTTGGCGATGGCAGGGCTTCGCATGGTCGGCTTGGATACGAAAGAGACAGCACTCCCTATTCCAGGGGCTCGTGGGCGGGTCGATCGCGTCGTCGAATTACGACCCCGGTCTGATCTCTCCCATTTTTGCAACAACGCGACGGCCGCAGGTATCGCTGGCGTATGAAGTGGACGTGAGCGATGCTGGGATGCTCGGGGCGGGCGCCTACGGCACCGTGCTGGCAGCGGTGCACCGCTCGACGGGGAGACAAGTGGCCATCAAGACGATGCTCAAGAAGTACCTCTTGTCCGACGCGGAGAAGGCTAGCGTGGAACGCGAGATCGAAATCCAGAAGGTGCTAGATACTTGAATCGTTTTGCGTCACCATGTCACCACAAGCTAAGGAACGTCAAGTGTATGTATGTGAATGCTCATGTACTAAGTGTACTCTTTGGTGAGAAACGAGTATTGAAATTCGGCGCGTGCTTGGCCCGACCAATGTGGTTGGTTGTACGCGAACCTGGCAGGCGGTTTACGGTGCCACGTGTGCTTCTCTTTTATCGTGATGTCTTGTATTGACGGGTGAGGAGATGCAAAAAATTCAGGCACGACTTCCGTGTGTTTCCAGCAACACCTCCACGTACTCTCCGATTCAATGTTTCCCTCGGCTCTCACCCCATCTATCCGGCTTTCAACGGCATCTTCCGACGACGCCCGTCTTCATTTTCTCTCTTGAACGTGCAGCGTCTGGTGAACAACCACGTGGTCCGACTGTACGAGATCTACCAGTCCCCGGAGCAGATCTACCTGGTGGTCGAGCGGGCGCCGTGCGGCAGCCTGGAGGAGTTCTTGAACGCGCGCTGGCGTATGACCGAGCTCGACGCCAAGCGCGTCGTGAGGCAGCTTCTGGACGGCCTGGCGTACCTGCACAAGAGCGGCGTCGTGCACTGCGACCTCAAGCCAGCCAACATTCTGTTCTCGGACATCGACCAGGGCAACACGGCGCGCGACAGCGCCCTGCCGGTGACGCCGAGGGCGCAGGTAGCGCCGCCGGCGTCGCTGAGCGGGCTTGTGGTGAAGATCTGCGACTTCGGGCACGCGAGGAAGGTCCCGGACTGCAGGTACTACAAGTTCACCCGCGATATCAACAAGATCCCGTTCCACATGTTCAAGCACACCGGGACGGAAGGGTTCGTGGCCCCCGAGGTGCTACTGTCCAAGCCGTACGGGAAGGCCGCCGACATGTGGTCCACGGGGTGCATGCTCGCCCAGATGCTGACAGGCAAGATGCCCTGGATCCCCTCTCGGGCGTGCCTCCAGCGGCCGCTCTCCACGTCCGGAGTGTGCTGGTCGCACATCAGCGAGCCGGCCAAGTCCCTGGTGGAAGACCTCCTTACGGCAGACCAGGAGTTCCGCGCGGACGTGGAACAGGCGACCCACCACTCGTGGTTCGAGGGCATCCACCACTGCGCGAGGATGCCAACGTCCGCCCCCGGCGGCAAGGCCTCGCCGATGTTCGCCCCCGTGCGGGGCCGGATCGCTTCGATGCCGGCGGTGCTCTTGTCGCCAAGGTCGCTCACGCCCACCCGCGACGAAGGCGTGCTCAGCGGAGACGCGGCGGCGGGGGGCGGCGTGGGCTCGGGGGTGGGGATGTCGCCGGAGGTGTCCGCGAAGGAAGAGGTGCGCGTTACTGTAAGAAGCTTTCGTCTCGGGTATGTATCGTTGCGCCAAAGGACATTGATGCAGCCTTTGTTGTTTTGTCGGCGCTTGTAGATAGCGTCACTGTGGGGAAAGTTGAATTGAGGCTGCACCACGTGTTTTTTCGTCATGCAGGAGAGAGACGCGCATGCAATTGTTTGACGAGCTTCCCCCACGATAGCCAGCAGCGGATACCAACCAAATTTGCTATTGCGCACAAGCTTCCTGCGACGCGTGCACTAAACCCCGCAACCTGCACCTGTTGTTGATTGGCCCCCAATGTGCAGGACACGGAGCAGCGGTTAGCAGAAAAGACAGAGAAGTCCCCCATGGGCGCTAATGACGAAACCGCGGCCGCACAAACGGACTTGTTGTCAAGCTTGGACAAGGCACCCGAGAAGTCGGTGGCGGCCTCGCAGAGCCCTGCGGCGGAGTTTTGAAAAGTCCAACCATGAAAAAAACTGTCTCGCGGCATGCCAGCAGGAGCGGGAAGGGGGGGGTATGCGGCATGATTGCACGGCCCCCCGTCGGTTTTTGCGCAACACCTCTACTGTAGGGTTGATTAAATGTACTTTTTTTATTGCCGTTTCTAGTTTCAAAGACCCCACGGCACGAGTTTTTGGAAAGGACAAGATTTTAGTTGGGCTCTCGCACAGCAGCTCGTGCTTTGTCTCAACTAAATTTTTTGCGGTAGACCTTTAGGCTTCCATTTAGGGAGAGAAGACAAGGGTGTATGACGACTTTTTATGTAGTCTGCTTCCGTGCGTGACGTGGCAGAAGAGACCAAAGGTCGTGGTAGCTTTAGCCCGCTACAGAGGTCAGGCAAGATTTCTTAGCTACCATCCACATGTAGACGTTTTTGTGGATGCCAACCTTGATTCTCTCAGGCGGGGGGTAAACTGATTTTTCGCGTCGCGCAGCGACGCTCGTAAATGAGAATGAATGCACGCGGTGCGATGGATTTAGAAGCCGCGGATGGTGTATGTTTTTTAGACGAACGCGATCAATAAGGAGTTGGACCAGCTGCTGCAACGCCTGCTCCTTTTTAGATGTGGCAGCTGCCACTGCGTTTTTTGTCGATTCAACATGGACACATGTGCGTAATGTTCTCGAAGTTTCTTGTGCGTCGGTACTACGGCCGTGTCTTTTGTGGGCTACGGTCTCGGAACTCGCTGGCGCCAAACTAAAAAAAAATGTGTGAGACTAGCAGCGCGGCGTTAGGTGCATTTGGCATCACCAGCTGACTATCCGTGGACTGCTTGGAAGTACATTGCAAGAACCGCGACGTAGGGAGTCATTCATGGTTTCTGTCAGGCACTGGTTGTGAAAAGCGAGGCTACTGATCAAACTACACGCATGTATTGGAGGCTAGTCAGGACGAGGCAGAGTATAGCCGACCGGGCTTGTCTTGGCGCCTACGAGAGCAGGAGGGGCGGTAAAGAAAGGCTGGGGGCGGGGTGTACTCATGCGTGTGCTGGCCATAACCAGAAATAAATGCAGGGCGGAGGAAGCTCGAGGTGCACTATGCGTCGTGAGGTGGTTGAGGGGGGGGGGGGGGGGGGG